CTGCCTGCGGCCTGGGCTCCTGGTGATGTTTTCTTCTTAACCCTATGCGGGTTTGTCACTGGACTGAACTATTGCTCCCCACCACCAAGTAGTCTGCGGCAGGTATTATGGTTGAGCGTCCTCCTGAAGCTGAGGTGCTGCCTTCCTTGAGAGCCGTTTCCCATGCATCTCTCAGAGGGATAAAGCCGAAGAGAAAGAGAGCGAAGTGTGGACCAAAGGGAACTTGTTCCTCCTCCTGTTCTCTTCGTTAGTACTTGACTTCCTTTTCAAACCCGCTTCTTTTCTGTTTCATTTCCTTTCTCCCCCTTTCTTCTCCACCTTCAGAGGATGCTAGGAGCTAGTGACCAGAGGACTGGAATAAACAAATTGGGTGAGCGACATAGCCCTTCATCGCAATGGAAACCATAGTTTGATTTTTACAGAATTAGCAAGAAGGAAGTATAAATAAATAAATAAATAAAATCACTTTACAGTATTCCAGGGGAGAACAGGTCTAGAACTCCCTGGCACTCTACTTCATTCTCCCTTGAAGTTAAGGTTTTCAGACTCTAAGAGGCTTCTGCAAATGACCTGATACTGCCTCTCAGAGCAAAGTCTAGAGCTTCCTGCTTGGATTCAGGCACACATTTGACATTCAACACCAGGCCCCTCAGGGCACCCACCCCATCGGGCCTCAACCCTCACATGTAGTGCCCAGGATGCCAGGGACAGCATTCACTTGCTTTAGCAAATGTGTGTTAACAGAATGTATCAGACAAGCACAGAAATGTGTGTTACTGCTCAGAGGTGGACCTCTGGCTCCTTCTGTACTGTCACTACCTGTCCCCTGGCTTCCACCTAAAGCAGGCTTCATCACCTTCAACCAAAGGACTGCAGCTCCTCGCTGCTGAGGGAGTCACCCCGCAGGAGGGATTGGAATTTCTTAGAGTCCTGTCCATCTCCCTCAGTTCCCAGCTGTGCTCAGTTCTCTTCCCTCCCTCCCTTCCAGTGTGTATCAGGCTCTGGTCTGTAGACCACAAGCCCCTCCCCGCCCCAATACTTCCCTGGACAGAAAGACTCTGGAACCAAATAGCTTCAGATTCCCAAATAACAGGATTGGGAATCGTGAGCCCTTACCCATGCTCTGAAGAAAAGGCTGAAAATAAAGTCATCAATAATCCCCAAGTTTTTTAGGTTCCCCAGCTTTTTGCCTAAGGAGCCCTCTTTCTGAGTAGCAGCAATTGGCACTCAGTGGGGGCGGGGGCGGGGGCGGGGGCAGCGGCAGAGCATGTGGCGTTCACTGCGAGAATCATCAGATTAATGTTATCTCTAGAAACTGAGTGCATTCATTCAGGGACCTGGCACAGCAGTTGAGTAGCTTTCAGTGGAGGAGGGTAAAGGGTGCAGTTTTTGGGGGAGGGTAGTCAATCTTTGATGATACCCCTTAAGGATCTGTCTTTGAGGGTAGGTGTATGAGTGTCAGAAGGGTGGAGTACTGATAAGCCATACCCAATATCATTTTGATTGTGCCCCTGTTTAGACCATGATGTTTTGTTTTTTTTTTCCAAAAGCATTATTTAGATGGCTTCGAGTCTTAGAAAAAACATTTTAAGACTGATCAGTAGGACGGAGAGGACCAGGCAAGTAAATTCTGCAGCACGGACGTGCTCCAGTCTGCTTCCCTTGCACAGAACACTGAGAACATCCTTAGCAAACTGTCATGTGGATGCGGAGGGCCGTGTGATCAGCAAGCATCCCTGTGAGCTCACACCTCTGCAGTGAGCGAAGGCTCCGAAGGTGTGAATTCATGCGGCACTCTTAATTAAAATAACTGCAGGAGAATTGGAAAAGGATCCCTTAGTGAGCGATGCTAATGAACAGATGATGGCCTTCTCCTTCCCTTTCTCAGGCTAACAAGGCTCAGCCACTAATTGGTGTAATTAGCAATGAATGAATATGAAAAATACTTCATTTTCCCCTCATCGCTCCAGCTCGGCACGCCTGAGCTCTCTGCCTTGGTTGCTGGGCTGCCTCTGATTTCCTTTAGGAAGCTCAGTTTGAAGGGGTCTTCACCCCCTTTCAGACGGTAATTGGGAGCCTAACTCCTGCCCTTAAGTGGTTGTACCCTTGGTCCAGCTGGAAGGTGAAGGTTCATCCTGGACTCTTTAAAAACCCTTACTAGGATTGTTTATATGGCTTCCAGAAAGTTCTCTCTCCCCTGCATTTGTACTTATGCTTGATGAAGGGCCTTCATCTTTTCAAAGAAGGTAGCCCCTGAAACAGATTTGCAAAAGGATATGTGTTGCTATGGAAATCATTGAATGAAAAATTTATTTCCCACTGCCCTGACTTAACAGGGGAAAAGGAAGAATGGAACCAGCTACATAAGGAGGGAATAGAGAGGAGCCCAAGACGCAGAGAGTAATTAACAACGGCTGAAGAAGTCATAGGAAGGTTTCTCCAAGGGGGCTGATCTCCCCACCAAAAAAAAAAAAAAAAAAGCAGCCACGTCTCCATGGTGCCAGGAGCTCTCAAGGGAAGGTCAAAGGGCTGGGAGCTCTGGGAGGCATCTGATTCAAACTGCTTGAGAAGGGTAGGAGGACACTGTGGTTTGCATGGAAGCCAATGGCTGGCACTCAGGATGGTGCTCAGAGGGGCTTTGGATGTCACATCGGCTTCCAGTTCGAAAGCAGGAACCAGCTTTGATCAGTTCCAACTCCAGTAGGTGTCAGAGTGAGTTCCGTCACGGCGCTGTACAGAGCTCCGAGGACACAGCTCATCTGACATGCTCATGGGCAGCCTCTTTACATATTATTGAGGACTAATTGACTGCAAGCTGTTTTGTTTCCCTGGTCCTATTCTAATTATATAGCCCCTTAAATGTGGTAAGGCTGGCAGTAATTTAATTTTTCATTTAAAGATTTATTTCTATTAAAAAATTGTGTGTGGTGTGTGTGTGTGTGTGTGTGTGTGTGTGTGTGTGTGTGTGTATGTGTGTGTGTGTGTGTGTGTGTGTGTAGGTGCCCTCAAAGGCCAGAAGAGGACATTGGATTCTTCAGAGCTGGAGTTACAGGCAGATGTGACCTGCCCGATGCAGGTGCTGGGAACCACATTTGGGCCCTCTGCAACACCAGTACATGTTATTAACCACCGAGTCATCTCTCTCACCCTGTCTTGGCTAGCTTTTGTCACCTGGGTACAACCTATAGTTACCTGGGAAAGGGGAACCTCAGAAAAGGAGTCGCCTCCACCAGAACTATCTGTGGGCTTGTCTGTGGGGCATTTTCTCGATTAATGATGGATGTGGGAGGGTCCAGCCCACTGTGGGCGGTGCCGTCCCCTAGACAGATGGGCCTGGGTTGTCTAAGAAAGCAAGGTGAGTGAGTCTTGGAAGCAACATTCCTCTGTGACCTCTTCTTCAGTTCCTGCCTTGGGTTCCTGCTTTGGCTTCTCTCGATGACGGACTAGAAACGGTAAGCGGAAATTAACCCTTTCTGTTAGTTCAGTGTTTGTCACAGTGACGGAAAACAAAAGAGGACAAATCCCAGGAGCAGCTTTTAATGACAGTCAGTGCCTTGTGGTTTCAGGCTCTGAGGACTGAACCCAATTTAAAAAAAAAATGAATCAAAAATATTCTTTTGAAAAAGCCACTGTACCAGTAACGTGCAGGGTTTTGTCACTGTTTCTTAAACAGTACAGTATGACAACTGTTTACAAGCATTGCCTTGTGTCGGGTGTTATGTGTGATCTAGAGATGATCTGAAGTGTACAGGAGCAAGTGTGTAGGTTTTGTGCAAACACTACATCATCATGAGGAGTTTGAGCAGCCTCTGATCGAGGAACTCACAGTGCGGTCCTTGAACCAGTCCTTCCTGGGTACGGGATACAGTGGTACTGATAACCTCTGGAAGACACCAGAGGAGAATATACCTAAAGCTGCTGGATAGCTAGCCTTCTGGGCTATACCCTGTGAGACGAGACGATACGATATGATACGATACGATACGATACGATACGAGACATTCTAGATATAGCTCCAGATACTTCAGCTGACAGATGCAGTTTCTGAGCCCACAGAGCTGAGGGCCACACTCTAAACAGGGATTAAATTCACCAAAGGAGCAAGGAGCTTCATGGGAGTCAGCCTACCAACCTTTGTATGTTGCCTGACCTTGCCAGCCTACAGACTGCATGGACATCCTTCTTTTAACTCCTTTTGCAACACACATTCATGTGACTAAGACACAACTGATTCGAAATCTTGGTCTTCATCTCAGACCTCCCGACTCGCCTGCATGCTGCTGGAGTTTAGAAACCACTGATACTGAGAACTGCCTATGAGAATCCATTCTGGGCCCCGTTGCCACATTGGGGACCAGTATCTACCACATAAACTTTTGGATCCTCTCTCAAAACATTTTTAAATCATATCACTAGTTTTACATGAGTTATATCTAAGCCATGAATTGGGTCTATAGAAATTTAGGCATTAGAAGTCCCTGGAGTAGTTAATAGTGTGAAAAAGAAAAGCCCACCCTTCTCCCATACTGAATAGAACAGATGCATTATGTCAGTGGCCTAGCAGCATAGAATGCATTTCCAATAAATATAAAATCAGATTCTCCAAGAAGACCAAGCAGATACCATCTTCTGTCTGCAGGTGAAGATATTTGCTCGAGTTCAGAATAGCCAAATGGGTGAATCACATTTGAGCCACTTGCCTAAGATAGTAGATGTCCCAGCCCGGACCTGAACCCAGAGTTTCTGACCCTGTATTTGGTGCTTTCTTGACACATGACCCTGGTCGCTCAGCCAGAGCTATTCTGGTGTAAGGCCAGTCCTTATATATAGAGGAGGAAATGAGGTGAAAAATAAAAGTCCTGCTGCAGTATACTTCCTGAAGTATACGTGGGCTCTATGGTCTGGCAGCAGGAATGTCCAGACTGGTAAATATGAGGTTGGGAGTGTTGGAGGAACTGGTCATGCGATATGAGTAGCTGATGAACTATGTATGATTCCAGGATCAACGTCTCTTGAGAGTAAGGAAAACAGAGAAGACACATGGGATTCTCAGAAGTGGCTCCAGAAATATGGCTTGAAGGCTCAGAAGCTGACCTTTTATGATGTCCTTGCTGACTGCTCCTTCCGCCATGCTGATGGAGTTGTTGATATAAAAGGCAAACCAGAAGATGAGTCTGTGCAGACCAGTGCGGTAGGTGAAAGCTGCTGGGACTGTGGGTCTCCTCTTGTTGCCTGGGGGCAAGGTGTGTGTGAAGCCATCCTTGGATCAGATGCCAAGGGAAAGACCACATTGAAAGGTGGCAGGGGAGGGAGTCATCTAGGGTTTCCATGAGACAGATGCCCCTTCACTTTCCACCTTCTCTAAATGGTACCCATGAGAGTCATCAAGGCCGGGGCATGGCTTCTGCATGTCTTAGTCTGTTTTGAGTGGCCAAAACAGAATGCCTGATGCTAGATGTTTTATGAAGAAATGCTTATATTTAGCTCATGTGTGTGGAGCCCTAATACCAGGTAGGTACCATCTGTTTAGCCTCTGATGCAGTCCCCTAGCTCCTAGCTCTGTCACAGAGAAGCAGAAAGAGAAATAGCCATGGGCAGAAGGCTGATGTGCCTGCCGATGACGTCATCATGTAGCGACCTGAGCTCTCACTCTGCAAGACCAGCATTACTTCCTGTCACTAGCAGTCCCCCACGATCTCCTAGCAGACCTTACCTCTTAGGACTTCCCCACCTCTCAGAACTGCCACACAGGGGCCCTACACCACAGACACTTTTGGAGACACACTCAGATATAAGTGATTTATACCCAAGCTACCAGCTGGGCCAATAGAAGTTCAAGTCTTATAAGTGCCTGGATTGTTCAGTATTATGTCAAATGAGAGGCTCTTTGTTCCCCCATGTTGAATGTGAAGGACAAACAGCCGGTGAGTGTGTCAAGAACCAGGCATCTCTGTGGTCCTCTTGAATTTCAAGCATCTTGCAGATGCATTACTCCAGTGAGCACCTGTCAGTATATAGTGGATTTCCAGTAAACATAAAATCAGATTCTCCAAAGACTCATAGCACCAGATGAGTATGTTTCAAGCTCTGAAAAATCTAATTCCATTGTACCAAATGGGGTCCCTAGGGATGCAGCTTCTTTCAGTGTCTGACTCTGGCTCTCAAAGACCAAATTATTCTCAGTATGAATGATTTCTAAGCTCTCACATGGTGCATTTGAGTCATTAGGTCTGAAGCAGGGACAGGATTTTACATTACTTATGTCCTAGCTGGCCCATTTTTGTATTACTATAGCAAAATATCCAAGGCTGGGAAATTTACAAAGAAAAGATGTTTATTTAGCTCACAGTTCTAGAGGTCAAAGAGTATGGGGTAGCATCTGCTCAGTTCCTGGTGCAGACCTCATGCTGTGTCAACTCACTGTGGAAAAGAAGGAAAGCATTCATGGGTAGAAGAGCTCAGAGAGAGGGCAGGGGTGGGGAGAAGAGAGAAGGAGGAGGCAGGTGTGATCAGCAATGGCTGATGTTGGTTTTCAACTTCATTTAGAATCACTGAGGAGGAAAAGCTTTGGGCATATCTGTAAGAGTTTCTAGATTGGGTTAGGAGAGCTGTGAAAACCTACTCTACATGTGAACGAAGCCATCGTAAATGTGGGTAACACTAGTCCATGGCTTGGGGTTCTAGACTGAGTAAAAAGGAGAAAGTGAGCTGAGCACTCTCTGCTCCCTGGCTGCAGATGGGATGTGAGCAGCCGCCTCACGCTCCTGCTGCCGAGGCCTCGCCACCATGACAGACTGTACCCCTCAAACCACGGGCCAAAACAAACCCTCCCTTCCTTCCTTAACTTTGGTTTGGCGGGTGTCTTGTAACAGCCACAAGAGAAATAACAGAGGCAGGCAGGCTGACCTACTTTGTAACAGTTCACTCTCAGGGTAACTAGTTCTGAGACACCTAACCCATGCCTACAGAAATACTTGAGTGTCTGTCAATCACCTTTTAAAGGCACCACCTGCCGGCACTACCATCTTGGGGACTAATGCTCAACATGGTGGGGACAAACCATAGCAAACACCCAGGTGGTGGACCAATGCCTACACATTGAGAAAGAGTCATGCGCATGCGTAGAGCAGGGACCAAAATACTCAGAATCAACTGTTGATACGCCCCGAGAGACTAAGCAATGTCACAGTATAAAGCAGAAAAACAGTGTGTGTGTATGTGTGTGTGTGTGTGTGTGTGTGTGTGTGTGTGTGTGTGTGTGTGTGGTGTGTTTTGGAAATGGAGGACATGAGAGGATCAAGGCCCTGCTCAAATACTGTGTCACTTGATATATTTATCCTTAAAGGCTGTGATTCAGGGTCAAGGCCATTACTGAGAGGCTTGTGGATCCAACGGAGGGGACTTGCATGCTCTGATGTGTCGCTACTCTGGCTGACCACCCAGCTCCTTGTCCGCCCCCATTCCCCATCCCCCCCATGCCCCCCACCCCTACCTCTCCACTCCCCCCCATCCCCCTACCCCCATCCCCCGCCAGTCAGGCTGTTTTCTTCTAGCGGTTCAGTTCAGGTTCGCCCCCGCGTTGTGCTTTTACCTCCTTACCCCTGCATGTTTACAGTGGACTGCAGGAGGAAAATATATAAATTGAATTAGAAAAACGCAGCATTGACGAAAAGCTTGCTTCCTGGCGTATCCTAGGAGGCAGAGTAATTGCCGCAGCACAGGGGAAATCTCATTAGTGGCTTTCCTCCCAAGCACAGTTTTCTAGCTTTGTAGACATCATTCAGTCATGTTCAGGAAGTCATCCGTAACTAAATTTTCACTCAGAAAATATTCGGTCCCGGGTATTTAAAAGTATTAATCCTTGCCGATTTTGACATAGCCCGCTGTGGCAATATGGCAGGCCCTGGGCCAGCTCTAATGCTGAACTTTCCCTTCCTTCTTATCAGTCTCAACGAAAATTTAAGGGCCAGATTGAAGAATGTGGCTTATAAATTGGGGGCTTTGCTCATATTTCTTATGCTAGTGCATAATGACATGGTGAGGGTTGAGAATTATGCTAACTATTCTCTTCCATAGATAGTGGAGGAAAAACATTGTTTCTTCATATTTTCAGACCATAGTCCCCAAATTGGGTTACTCCTAAGGTTGTGCCATGCATTTAGTAGGGAGACACTGTGGCTGTAAAATGGGTAGATCCTTTAGGGTTCCCTGGCAGCCAGGGGGTAAATCCCCTGTATGATTATCTACATAACCACTGGTTTAGATGTGGTATAGTTCTGCACATCTGAGAAATTTATGACTAGGAAGATCTTGTGTAGGGTTTCCAAGATGGATGAAGAGGCGGGGATCATTTCGCTGCCTGGAGCTTCCTTCTTTATATCTTTAAACTGGACATTGTCTGGTACAACCTGAGCACAGAGCCTAGCAGTTAGGAGATGCCCTGTAGAGGTGGTCTTTTCTCTCTCACAGACATTGATGTTAGAGGTAGAGAATCAGCGCTGGGAATGCTCTGTGCTCTGTATCATCAAGATACCTTAGGAAGCAGCCAGAGGAGAAAAGGCCAATGGGTCCAAGAGAGAGCCCAGCCTTGCTGCGGAGGATAAGAATTCAAGGGTCACAGAGGGACAGGAGCCGGGAAGGTCAGTGGTGAGGACAGGGTTTATCAGTTTATCAGTGCTCTCAGTTTTACACTGGAGGGGGATGAAGTTGCTGGGCCTCCCGGCTGGTAGGATATTCTCTTGTGGCAGGTGGGGGCCAGTGTGAATGGGATCATCTGGGCTGCCATGTTAACATCTCCTTCTGTCATGCTGCTGCCTGCTAGCCTGCCTCCCCATGGCTTCGAGGCTCGCTGTTGCTTCACTTGGCTGTGCTTCAGACTTCTAGGGAAATGACATCATCATGGGACTGAGAGATAGGCAGGGAGGAAGCTTTGGTGTGACAGCCCCAGGGGTGTGGTAGAGGACAGCTCCCTTCGCCAGCCACTCCCCTTGGCAGCCTGTCCCTGATAAACCCTGTCCTCACCACTGACCTTCCCGGTTCCTGTCCCTCTGTGACCCTTGAATTCTTATCCTCCGCAGCAAGGCTGGGCTCTCTCTTGGACCCATTGGCCTTTTCTCCTCTGGCTGCTTCCCGACTGTTCTTACCCTGTCATCAGACTGTCACAGCACCTCCTTGGAGCTGTGCTGAGCCCACCTCGCCGGCTCCTGTCCTTGAAGATGAGTTTCTTCCTTGCCACTACCGACTCCAAGCCCTGCTTTCACTCTTCAGGATGTCAGTCCCGTATGGATGACCCTTCTGACGCTCTTGATCTTTCATTTCTTTATCCCCTCTTCTAATGACTTCCTCCTCCTCCACCCCATCACCCCCTCCCTGCCATAGGTGCGCTCTTGACCTTGGTATTAGGAAGAACGGCAAACATAGCCCACACAATCCGTTCTAACCAAACCACTTAGATTACTTTTCTAAGGCATTTCCTCTCTGGCGTGACTACCACCACTCCATTGGCCTCAGTGGGGTCTGCAGGTTATTACTACTGCCACCCTTCCTGTGTCTCTGTGTGTCTGCCCCTCCCACACATCCTCATAACTTGTTTCCATCTTAGATTATTTCATGTATCCAGCACAATCAATCCCACAGCTGTTTAAACCCAACTTTGTGCCATTTCTTGTGAATGGCAGCTGACTGTGCTAGAGAAATCTGAAGGCGAGCACTCAGCCATGAGGCTCAATTTCACTTTGGATTAAGGCTTCTGTCCCCAGGAAGAATTGACCTTGCTCCTATTGAACACTCTCCATGTATACATTCATTTTTCACTCACTCATTCATTTTCCTTATTTTACTTTATACTGTCAATGTTGCCCTTCTAGAGCTTTCCATCAGCTTATAAGCATGCATTTTAGGATTTTTTTTGTGTGTGTGTGTGATGTATGGGTATGTTGTGAGCATATGCATGCATGCATGCATGTATGTGGCGGGAGGGAGTCAGAGGTCAATGGCATGTGCTGTTCTCCATCTTATTTCTTCTTTTGAGAAACGGTCCCTTATTGGACCAGAAGCTCATTGATTGTGCTAGGCTGGCTGGCCAGTGTTTGTCTCTGTCACTCTATGCCAGCCAGTACTGTGGTTACGTGTATGCTGCCAGACCCAGCTATTTCCATGAGTGCTGAGGATCTGAACTCAGGTCTTCCTCAGTCTGTGAAGGAGGCACATTTCCCACTGAGCCCTCTCCCCAGGATCCTGTAGGACATTTGATAGCACACCTGCATTTGATGACCTTTTCCTGCTGTGCACGGGCTCCCATCCCCTCAGAGTGACAGCTACTGGTGTTGGCCTCTCCCTGTGTCTCATTTGCTTCATTCTGTTTCTCCTTAGAAGTCAACTCTTCCAAAGAATGTGACCCATTCTCTTTCTCCAGCTCTTCAGTTCCCTTCCTATGTGCTCTAGAATCTACGGATTATGCAAAATCCCTACTTCTCCCTGAAAGCTGGGATATATGAATTTTTAAATTCAGGGATCAATTCTTTTTTTTTTAAATCTGATTTTATTTTTTTATTAACATTTTCCCCTTTGTTTTAAATGCTGACCACAGTTTCCCCACCCTCCTCTCCTTCCATTCCCTCCCCTCCCCACTCCCATCTACCCCACCTCCCATCTACTCCCCTCTGTCTCCATTCAGAAAGGGGCAGGCCTCCCATGGCACATCAGGATGAGGTGGGACCGAGCTCCTCCCCCTGTAGAAAAGCTGGGCTAGGTAATTCAGCACAGGGAACAGGTTCTCAGGGATCAATTTTTATTCTCTAATTCCTTCCTCCCCACTCCCTTTTCCTCTCCTCCCCTCCCCTCCCTCTCTTTGCAGGAATCACTGGCTTCGATCACATGTGTACTTCTGACCTTGTCCATGATCTCCATCACAGGGCTGTCTATGGAGCAGGCACCAGAATGGTCTCCCTGTGGAGATGTGTGCTAAGAGGTGTACAAATAAAGCAGAGATGGGCGTGCTACCTGGCTATTTTTTCCTTACATGGTTTCCGAGTGGCTGTTTTTATTAGAGTTTTAGCCCCAAAGCGCAAGCCCTGGGATTCCCCACAGAACAGGCTCACCCATGTCCCAATACTCCAGTTAGAGAGGCAGGCCCAGTTAGAGAGGCGATGGTGAATGGCAGAGAAAGATTTCATCAGCGTGGCTTCTGGTCACATTGCAAAGTATGGACAAAGGGGATCGTGGACCCCAAAGTCTGTCTTTGGGGTACCGAATTGAACTGTAGGCTTCATACAGGAAGAACTGGGGCAGAAAGAAAGGGTTGTACACTTCAGCGGTCCCAGGCAAGCTTGATCCGGTTGATCTTGTCTCAGTTCTGGTTCTGCGAGGTTTGAAGTAGTTACTGTCGATGTTGAGAGGAGTGGTCTGGTTCCTGTATGACGGTTACTGCTACTGTGGGGGTGGGGCATCTCATTATAGAGTCATGTGTCTCTGAGGCTCTGCTGTTCCTGGAATCCAGAGTAATTGCAGGGTTACCATACACCTTGAGGCTCCTTTTTCTCCCCGGGTTATTGGGGGTGCGGGGTGGATCTGGAACAGGACAGTGCACAGTAAGATGTTTCAGTTGCTCTTATCGGTCCTTATTTTTGCAGGAAGGTGCAATGTTAGCCATTATTATGTGATACTCAGGCACTCCTTTGGATATTAGCATGTCAATGTGCAAATTCACCAGGTGATGAAGTCAGAGACAGATACAAAATGGAGGCAGAGATGACCCGATTTTATTCAGTTTTTAGTTATTTTGTGGGCCCATGTGAGGAGTCGTGTATTATTATTATTTTCAAGAACCTGCTCTAGCCCATGACTTTGTCCTTTCCTTAGGACACCAATAGGAAGACAGTTCATGCCAAATACTGCAGCAGATTCATCCACGTCCCCTGGAAGGATGGGACCTTGGTCCATGTCAACATTACCAAGGAGAAGTGCAAATGGTACAGTGAGAGAGTTCACATAGCCCTGGCCAGGATCCAAAGGAGGTTGGTATGTTTGTATGTGGTCACTAGTGATCTAGTCTCTCGTGAAGTACTGTATGAGCTCAGTGAAGTGAAGTGGCCAATAGTTTCCATCTGATAGTTTATTGATGACATTATTATTATTTTTTTTTTGGTTTTTCGAGACAGGGTTTCTCTGTGTAGCTTTGCGCCTTTCCTGGGACTCACTTGGTAGCCCAGGCTGGCCTCGAACTCACAGAGATCCGCCTGGCTCTGCCTACCGAGTGCTGGGATTAAAGGCGTGCGCCACTACCGCCCGACTATTGATCACATTATTAACCAAAGGGAAATACCCATACTCAGATTTCATCAGAAACAGAACAGGGAGGTGTTATTGTGTGTGTATGCGTGATGTGTATGCGTAGTGTGTATGCATGGTGTGCATGTGTGGTGTGCATGCGTGGTGTGCATGCATGTGGAAAGGGGACAGAGGTTGGTGTCTAATATCTTCCTCAATTGCTCTCCATCTTAATATTTGAGGCAAGGTCTCCCATGGAACCTGGAGCTCAGTGATTAGTGAGACTGGCTGGCTAATGTCCTCCAGAGAGCTACCTGTCTCTGTCTCCCCAGAACTGGGGTTACAGACACGCATCACTATACCTGACTTTTATGTGGGAGCTGGGGATTGGAGCTGAGGTCCTCACACTTTTGTGACAGGCACTTAATCAGTGGAATCTTCTCCTCAGCTTCCAAAGGAGTAATTTTGAAGTAACGGCTATTAGGAGATTAAGAGATACTTCTGCCTGTGCTTTGGAGGGTTTTGTGGGCCGTGGGTATACTGCAGACTATATTGCATCTCTGTTCCCTTATAGAACTATTTCATCTCAAGGCAACTCTTACGTATTGGAAAATAATCAGATTATATATATATATTAGAAAATAATGAGAATACACAGTCTCCTATCTGTCTTTGTCCTGCTGTGTTCTTACAATCTGCTCTGCTCCTGAGTATGGTGTACTGATACCATGACCTCAGGGTTGACTCCATGTGGATCGTTTAAATTAACACCCTCAGGTTTCAGATGTCAGGGGACAGCTTTAGACCATGGAGATGAAATTCATTTAGGGGTATCGGCCTGAGGTCTCAGTGAACTGGAAAATCAAGAAATTAAAAAACGATGAAAATCCCAGCTCTATCACTTGCTGTTTGGCCCTGGGCGAGTAAGTTAATGTCCTGGGCAAGTAAGTTAATGTCTTTTTGCATCTGTTTCCTTGATTATGAAGTGGGAATGGTGATGACATTTGTAAATCTGCTCTGTGGATTATGCCAGATGCTGAGTCTAATGGGTTTAAGCCAGTGGCAGCCTTGTACAGTCATTTGAAAATGAATGTCCCCTCCATCCTCATGCCGTTTTTATTACAAAGCCATATGAGCAGATTCCCAACTGTCCAGTGTTTATACCCAGAGCCCCAGCATCTCAAAAGCCACATGGTGATGGATCACTCACAGAAAGCTGGCCCTGTGTCCAGAGTCTCCTCTGTGGCTTCAGAGCTGACTGGTTGGTGTTTCTTGTAGGGGACATGCTGCTTACAGCACACTCCACCCTCTGGGTCCCTTTGTCCCTTGCCTTCCTGGTGTCAAGAACGGGCAGAAGCTCTTTTCCTTTTCTATTTTCTGCAGAACTCTGAGAATTGGCACCATCTCTACCTTATATGTTTGGCAGAATTCACCAGTAACACCACTGAAGCCTGGAGTTTTCTTCTCTGTGGAAAGGTTTTGGGGCATAGAACTCGGAAAGCATCAACTTTTCTTGGAAAGTGTGCTATACATATCAGTTGCATTTATAAGTTTCATTTTGTTGGAAGCATTGTGCTAGTCATCCATACTTACTGAATTTCTCTTTAGTTGTTCTTTAAATTATTGAGAAAATTGTCGAACTCACTGAGTCGTTTCTGTGTGGTTCTTTCAGATCTATCAGCTTTTCCTTAAGACTTTGAAACTCTGTTAGTTGGTGCACATATGTTGCAGACTGTTGTATCCACTTGCTGGATCAGCTCCTTTTTCATATAAATGCCCTGTTCAACTCTGCCGAAATTCCTTATTAGGACATGTACTTAATCTGATAGCTGAATAGTTAGTTACTCAGAATAGTTAGTTACTCTAGCTTAACGATGATTATGGTCTCTGTGGTTTATCTTTTCCCATCCTTTTCTCTTTGCCTATCTCTGGCTTGTAATTAACTGGGCTTCTTGGAGACAGTGATTATAGTGTTGTTATGATTTATATTTATTAACGTGGCTAGATTTAAATCTGGAATCTTGTAAATTTTTTCTGTCTGCCTTGTCTCCTTTTTGTTCATTTTTAGCTTTTGTGTTACCTTTTTATGACTCCCCTTGCTCTCCCTGGTTGTCATAGTAACCCTGTCTGTTAAAGTTTTGTCTTGATGTGTGTGACTAGCTGACATTTGTGCTGTACATATTAACCTCCCAGTTTGCCTTCAGACAAGATCATGCCTCTTCGTGTATAAGAATATACAGTGTCCGCCCCCCTCTCTTTTCCGGTTACCATGTACTTCATATGTGCAGCTTCTATGAACCCAACAGTGTAGTACAAATAGTCTAATGTCCTAATCTAATGGTGAAGAATTGGAATAAATACGTTGTATTTGTTCCTGCTTGTTTCTGTTACTCTTTACTCCTTTATATAAATCCAGACTTCCACTGGGCTTTCTTTCATTTCTACCTGAAAAGCTTTGTTAGTATCTGTTGTGGTTCAAGTCTGTTAGTGATGAATTGTATTAGCACTGTTAGAGTGAAAATCCCTTTAATTTACCCCCCTTTTAAAAAAGATCTTTTTGCTAAGTATAGAATTCTAGTTTGAAATTTTTATCGGTTGTTTCTTTTTAAAATCTTCAGTGTATTCTGGCCTGTATGGTTTATGATAAAAAGACTTTTATTCATAGACTCTGAATGCACTGTGAATTTTCCTGCCTCTGGCTGCTTTTAATCACTGGGTTTCATCAAATTCATGATATACTTTGCTGTGGTTTCTTCTCTTCTCTTCTGTTGGTTTCTTTGACCTCCTTGAATCTGTAGGCATACTGTTTCCATCAAAATAGAAACGTTTTTGAATATCTTTTCTATTTCTCCCTTTCCTGTCTGCTGTAGAGTCTACAGACACACTTCTTGTATATTATGCAATTTTGTCTTTCAAATTTTCTGTTTCACTTTGAATTGTTTCTTACTGCTATGCCTAAAAAAAAAATTCCCTGATCTTTTCTTTTGCTGTCTCGCTTACTATTAATGCTATATAATTTACTTTTCGCTTCAGATGCATCTCTCTAGGAGTCCCATTAAGGGTCTTTTAAATTTTATCATTTATTATAATTTGTATTTATACTTGAGAATTCCATTACATATATGTAATGAAATAGAAATTTCCTCCTCCAATTCCACCTGCAACCCCTAAAATATCCCTGCCCCAATTTTATGTCATTGTCTCCTCCTCCTCCTCCTCCTCCTCCTCCTCCTCCTCCTCCTCCTCCTCTTCTTCTTCTTCTTCTTCTTCTTCTTCTTCTTCTTCTTCTTCTTCTTCTTCTAATAACCACTAAGTCCAGTTAGTGCTTCCCATATGTGAATGGGTATGGGACCGTCCATTGGAGCATGGGAAACCTGTCTTGGAGAACATGCTCCAAAAAGAAGGTGTTCCCTACCCCAGCAGCTATCATCTGCCGATAGTTCCTCAGTAAGTGCTCTCCTGGGGCCTGGAGAGTTAAACCCCCCCCCCCCCCCCGCTATGCTGGGATTCTGACTGACTTGGTTTTATGCAGCTCTTATACAGGTAACCACAGCTGCGCTGAGTTCATGAGAATGACACCACGTCCCATCTAGGACTCAGCATCTCACGTGCCCTCCTCCATTCTCTGTCTCTTTCATTCTTTCCACTTCCTCTTCTGCAATGTTTAGGATCTTTTTTTATGCCTTCTATTTCTCTTCTGGTTCTGTTCCTGGACATGCAAAACACATTTGTAGTGACCATGTAACACCTTTTTCTTTTCTACTAATTCTAACATCTGGGTTGCTTGGGGATCTATTTCTGTTGATCAGGTTTTCGACTAATTGTGGATATTCTCCTCCTTCCCCATACACCTGAGAGTCATTTTCTAGTTTTTTTTCCTGGATTCCAGACATTTTGATTTTTTACGTTGTTGGATGCTAGACTTTACTACACTTTTATATGTATTTTGTGATAGTGTTAAGTGGCTTAGACCCAGTTTGAGTTGAAGTCGGAATTTTAAGTTACATGAGTTCAAGTCCACATAGTCTTTACCCTAGGGTTGATTTGGTTTTACTAGTAAGGTAACACTGTTGTGAGGATTCCCCTTGACACTTTGCTCTGATGGCTGGGAAAATGAACTGCTCTTCTCAGATGTATAATCTCCGGTGAGCTTTGGATGATTTTTCCCCTTGGCTTCTGTAATTTCTTCACACACATGCCCTGATCACCACTTAACCCAAATCCCTAGGTTACCCTGCAGATATCTGGACTAGGAATCTCCCACCCCCTGCTCCATGGCCTTTACAGTCTCTCTACCTTTCTAGACAGTAACTGCCATTTGGCATTTTGCCCTACAAATTCTAGTTGCCTAAGACTTGCTGCCCCCGACTCACCAAGACATTTTCTCTGTCCTCTTCCCCCAAGCCTCACCGCGAGGCTTTTCTCGAGGCCATGAGCTTCAGTGCATCCTGGGATGAGCTCCTGAGTGCTGAGTGCAGCAGCAGCTCCGTGTGCACAACCACCTAGAACTTGGTTGTTTCAGGGCCCCAGGGTGGCTCAGTCCTGCTCACAGACCCTACAGGCTTCCAGAGGGAGCTGTACTCAGGGCCTCTGAAGTGAGAGCTGAGAGCCTCCACATAGTAGTGAACTAGAAGTAATTTGCTCATGGCTTTCTTTTTTTATATATATTTAAGAATTTTTTTAATTCATTCTACATACCAACCACAGACCCCCCTCTCATCCCTCTTCCCGCTCCTCCCTCCAGCCTCTCCCCCACCCCATCCCCCACCTCCGCCCCTGCTTATGGCTTTCTTTGCATCTATTTTTCCACTGTATTGGTTGTCTTTGTTTTTGTGTCTGCTTGAATTGGTGGTGGGAAGTGGAGGGGCCCGATAAGAGGGCCAGTCAAAATGTAAAATTTTCTTTTAAAAAAGAATTCTTGTGTGTGTGTGTGTGTGTGTGTGTGTGTGTGTGTGTGTGTGTGTTTGCATGTGTGTACATGAGAGTGCCTTCAAAAGCCAGAAGAGGGTGTTGGGTCCCCCTGAGATGGAGTTATGTGTAAAGTGCCTAATGTGGGTGCTGGGAACTGAATTTGAGTCCTCTGTAAGAGGTGCAAGCGATCTTAAGTGTTCAGCCATTTCTCCAGCCTCAAATGTAGTTTTTTCTACATAAAAACAAACAAACAAACAGCAACAAAATAACAGAAAACAAAAACCTGAAAGTAAAGAATCCATTCACCAAAGATCAGGCATAAACAATGTAGCAGAGCTCTGGTTCTGTGCTCTGGTTCTGTAGCCCTGTGTTCTGATGAAGATGACCTTGCTGTCCATAGACTCCCGCTCCGTTTACTTTGATACTCTTTCCTGTCTAGGATTAAGTGGCTACAAGATGGGAGTCAAGCCCTCTTTGGAAAAGTGAGTGGAGATTGCATCTATGTCCTCATTGACACGTCACACTCAATGAAGAGCAAACTGGACCTGGTGAAGGATAAGATCATTCGGCTCATACAGGTGAGGTGGGGCAGTCACGTTCTTGTGCTGGGGCTGGTGTCTCATGAACACACCCCCGACAGTCATTGTCCGTAGTGGCTCTGGGCAGTGGACAGGACCACACTGCACTAAAGGGTCCCTGAGAAAGTCAGTCCAGAAATGCTCCCATTTGCCATTCCTGAACTCTCAGTGCTCCCTGGCAATCAGACCTGTCCTCTGTTGGGTCCTTTATGTCACCGTCACACCTGGGTCACTGAGGTGTGTGTCAGTATTTCTGTCACAACTTCTGCCTGAAGTTGTGTCTAACCAATGATACACAGAAATCTCTATTGTTTCCCAGATACTTATTATCTTGAATTTTTAATTTAATTACCTATGTCTATTAGGGAAACTGTATGAACTGGCCCCAAAGTTGCAGATGGGTAGGGGGTAGGCCTGTGATGGAGACCGTTTCTGTCCCACTCATCTGGGCTGCCCCTGAATCATTTTCTTGGTAGCAGGTTGCCTTCTGAATCCAGTTTCCATACCTGTAACCAGGTTTCACAATATTGTCGTGAGTCTGTTGTGCTTAGAGTAGAGACTGTTTAAGAAATACAAAATAGAGTGTGCAACCAGCTTCCCTGGGGGTGGCGGGGATGGGTGGGTGGATGGGGGCAGGGGGAATGAAGGCTTACTAAAGGCAAGCGAATAGGTCTGTACCAAATAATAGCTTTTCCCAAGAGGTGGTGGCCAAAATTATGACATTTTGAATTTTCTTTCTTTAAGCATTTAACTTGCTTATTTAGCATAACATTAATATCAGTATTAAAGTCAGTATTTAATGTTACAGTACAATATGGCTTACATATACATATGTGGCATATAATACTATCTATACGTTCATCTGTAACATTTGTAGAGGCCAAACATCCAAACTGTATAATTTTGACTCAAATGCCTTTTTGCAGCAGAAACGTTTTTTTTTTCAATTGAACATAATTTTTAGCTAGCTTTTAGAACTAAAAATGGATATTCTAGAGACTCTCTTCATCTTTGCCTACATTTGAGTGGTTTTATGGTTAAATAATAATTGTCTCTTCCAGGAACAGCTGAGATACAAGAGCAAATTCAATTTTGTGACGTTTGACGGTCAGGCAATTGCTTGGCGGGAAAAACTTGCTGAAATCAATGAAGATAATTTGGAACAGGCTGAGTCGTGGATTAGAGACATTAAGGTAAAATGTCTAGTCTGGGAGAAGTCTGAGAATGTTCCGTGTGTACTGAGTTTACTCATAGGATGGACAGTATTGAGAAATGGAATTGAGTTCCAAGAAAGGCAGTGTCTATATAAGGGCCGTTATTTGGCTACAAAGGTCACATCCATCCAATGTCATTAGTGAGTTTCATAAAGTTTAGATAAGCATCTATTTATAGTCATCATCCCTCGGTATCCATGGGAGATTGATTCCAGGACCTCCCCCGCATCTCATGAGAGCCACAGATGCTCAGATCCCTAATATAAAATGCTGTGAGATTTGCAGAGAGCCCACACAAACCCACCATGTGCCAAAAATCATCTCTGCACAACTCACAACACCCAGTGCAAGTCACAGGTGTTATACTGTATCGTTTAGGGAATAAGAACGGGGGAGGGGGAGGGAGGAAGCCTGTATAGGTCCAAACAGACAATCTTTTATGTGTGTAGATTTATATATAGTATGCATATGCATGTTATGTGTGTCTATGCAGATTTGTGCATGTGAATGCAGGCATACATGAGCCACCAAGCTTGTGTGTAGACCAGAGAATAGCCTTGTGTGTTGACCCTCATCTTCCGCCTTGTTTTAGACACGGCTTCTTTGTTATTTGCTGCTTCCATCCACCAGGGTAGCTATCCCGTGAGCTTCTGGGAATTCTCTGCCTTTCATCTCATCATAGGAGCGCTGGGATTACAGACACACACAATTGCACCCAACTTTTACATGAGTTCTGAGCATTCAAACTCAGATACTCATCGTTTGCAGAGCAAGCCACCTCCCCAGCTCTAGACACAATCACTCGATAATGCACAAGCATATGTGTATGAGCGAGTGTATGTGTGTGTGTGTGTGTGTGTGTGTGTGTGTGTGTGTGTGTGTGTGTGCACATGCATGTGTACTCATTCCACAGTTGGCTGGATCTGTGGGTGTGTAACCTTTGGACAAGGAGAGATGGCTCTCTTTCCAAATCTGTCCTGGGCTCATGTTGTAGCCTCGTGATGAAGACAGATTTCAACAGATAATATGTTGGGTGCTCAGGCATTCAGATCTGTCCCATCTGATACTCCATCAGTGTTTCAAAGGCTCAAAGGGGCCACTGCAGCTGTTGCTAACACTGAACTTGGTTCAGAAGCAATGAGCTCCTGGAGACAGTACAGTCTGAGCATCTAAGGCTGAGAGCAAGAAGAGAGAGGAGGAGGAGGAGGATGATACAGGGAGAGAGTGAAGTCATTTCTCAGGTCTGCATTTTTCCTGGAGATCAGGGAAGCTGTTGTTTCTTGTCATGTGGGCTACTGGGAAGGATGTTCTTCTTCTAGAATTTTCTTTTGCCTTGAGCTTCTCTTAAGTTTGAATGTGCTCCAGAACCATATGGCATTCCAGATATTTGAGAGACACTTAAATATCTGAGACAGAGCTGTTAAAAAGTTACTTAAAATAGCTCACTGCTTGAGTAAAGTCCTAGATTCGCTCAGCAGCCACACCAGACAGTATCTGAGCTCCCAGAATCCTGACTGATTAAAGCAGGCAGGCCCAGGCAGACCCTGGGATGTCCCCAGTTCTTTTGGGATTGTTTGTAAACTGGGAAAGGAAGGAAGTACGTTGAATAAGAAGGTAATATCTTTAAGTAATTGGATATCTTATCCTGGGATAGAGTGTCAAGGTCATACTCTTTAAGTTTCCAGTATTACCAATGTTCTCTTCCTTTTATATACTACCAGTAAGAGGAACTGTGTTGTTAACGGGGAGCTTGCTGTCTAATGAGGTATTATACATTCAGTCTTCTTGGGTGAAAACATCCGTGGGTTCTGCTTTATTCCCATTGGTACTATTAACAGAATGCTAGTTCAGTTTAATCAGAGCCCATGAGATTTTCCACTTAAACATTTCCGACTGCAGTATCTCCTTAGTCTCCCCCAGTCGGAAAAAGCTTCTTGGTCTTCCTTGAATTTACATGATCTTGACACTTGAAGAACACTGATTGATATTTTCTAGAACATTCTTCAGATTTTTGTTTTTGTTTTGTGACACTGGGAATTGAATCAGAGCTTTGAACATACTAGGCAAGTGGTCTCACTGAGCTTCATCCTTAGCCCTTTAAAATTTTCGGTTTGAGGTTAGGGTTGCTAAGTTGCCTAGGCTGGCCTTGAACTTACAGTCTTCCTGTCTCAGTCTCTTAAGTAGCTGGGATTACAGGTGTGTGCCACAATGCCTGGCTTCTTCTGAGGCAATCTCTTGTTGTATAGCCCAGGTTGGCCCAAATCCAGCTTCCCATGAGCCTCCCAAGTGCCAAGATTATAGCAGGAATCACTGTACCCAGGCTACATTGACTTTTTTTTTAAAAACAGCCACCCTGTTTTCATTAGGTTTCTGTATTGCTGTACAGTTGAATTTTTGTGATTCTGCTCTTGGATCATTTCTTATTTCTGCTGGCTCTGAGTGGGCATTGCTCTTCCTCTTGAAGGTTCTTTGGTTAATAACAAAGCTTGCATTTGGAGGCGTTTCCATTGTCCCAGCATAACCTGCTAATGGGCACAGATTTCCCCACCAGCATGGTGGGGGCTGCACTCTATAGATTTAAGCGTTTTACTTGATTTTCCATAATTTTTAATAAGCTCTCAATTTTTCGTGTTTTTTTGAACCATGAATTATTTAAAACCCATTATTTGATTTTCAAGCGTTGGGAGAGTTTCAAGTTGCCTTTCTGTTATTAATTTTGATTCCATGATGGCTGAAGGCAAACTTGGCTTGATTTAAATTATTCTTAAATTTGTCAAGTGTTTCATAAAAATTGAAAACTTACTAGGAATTATGAAAAATTGAGTAAAACACTTAAATTTATAGAGTGTAGCTCCCACAGTGCTGACCATTAAAGAAAAATAACCATAATTGATCATTTCTCCATTGTTTTTTCTTTTTCAGATTCATCAAAGTTTGCTTTGTGTATTTTGAAACTCTGCTGTTTGGTGCACATATATTTAGAGTTGCTGTCTTTGTAGATTGAGTCTTATGTCATTATTTAATGTGCCCCTTTGTCCCTAGTAATTTTCACTGCTCTAAAGCGTGTAGTGAGTCAGGCTTTGTAGAACATGCACATCCCAGCACTTAGGAGGCAGAGGCAGGAGGTTGATGAGTTGGAAGCCTTCTTATATACCTAGCAAGATCTTGTCTCAAAAACAAAAATAAAACTGCAAACAAAAGCCAAGAACAAAAAAAACAACCAACCCCTGAAAACTAAAGTGTACTGTTAACATCGCCATTCCTGCTTAAAAGAATAAACTTACAATGTGTATCACTTTCATCCTTTCATCTCCAGTTTATCCATGTTGCTGTATTTGAAGTGGCTTTTCTGTAGACATTAAGGGATCTGGTCAAGATTTTGTAAGTTCTCCAATCTCTGCCAAGTAATGGGGTATTAAGACCATATGTATGGATTATTGACATCTAAGGCTAATGTCTACCATTGGGTTGTTTGCTTATTGTGGAATCCTTGGTTTCGTTCTTTTCTCTTGCCTTCCCCTGGGTCCTTTGGACGCTTTTAGTGTTCCATTTTAACTTATTCATTTTCCTTTTTACTGTAGCACCTTGTGTGGTTTTCTGAATGCTTGTTCTAGTGGCTTTCCGTATGCCAAGTTGTCGTGTATCACAGGCCCTGATCCTGATGTGTTATGACTTCAAGTGAACAAGCCTGATTTCAATTTGCACCCCTTATGCTCCATACATATTAAAAGTGTAACTGAAATGGCCCTTCTGTATACAGTCATTATTGGTATGCAACCTGCTTAAACTGTAACCCATGATTTGAGAACTTTGGGGAGTTAAGGATGGTCTCCTGGAATGACCTGCATGCTCAGGATTTGATTTTCTATTACGGGTCTTTCGAGTCATAAGCTTCCATTAGCCACCCTTTAAAGATGAGACTCCGCAATAGAGTCTCATAGCTCTCCATCAGCCCCGAAGTGGATATTTTCACCAGATGTGAGTTACGACTGGAGATCCATTTCTTTCAACACTTGAAACAAGTTGGGGCACTTCCTTATGTCTCTGTGGTTTCAGAGGAGAAGTGGCTGGCCCCCAAATCGGAATTCCTTAATAGGTACTGTAATATGCTGTTTCACTTTGGCTATTCATTGGGAGGGTTTTTTTTTGTCATTAATTTTCAAAAATTTATATACAATGTATGTACATACAATGTATCTAGCTATGATTTTCACAGATTTTTTTAACCTTTTTGGGGTTTCCTCAGCTTCTTGAATTATAGTTTTTATAATTTCAGCAAATTGGAGGATTTTTTTAAAAAAAAGATTTATTTTCATTATTTTAAATTATGAGTACGTATGTGTGCATGAAGTGGGAATGTGCATGTAAATGCAGGTGCCTACAAAGATAAGAGGTATCACATCCCCTGGAGCTGTCACACACGATTGTGAGCCACCCAGTGTGGGTGCTGGAAAATAAATCGGGGTCCTCTGTAAGAGCAGTATACATTTATAAGCCCCAAGCCGTCTCTCTGGCCCCTTGGGGATTTTTTTTAAAGCTGTTGTTTTTGAAGATTTTTTAAAATTCTTCACTCCCCCCTCTCTCTTTTTCTGGAACTCTTGCAGTATTAATAATCTATCTGCTTCATTGTCTCAGAGACCTCTGAGGGCATCAGTTGGACCACTTTTCTCAGACAAAAGAGCTATTTCTGGTTCTTTGTGTGATGAGTGATTTTTCTTTATTGCATTCTGGGAAATTTTTATTATTATGTCAGGAGCCTCTAATCCCATTGAAGTCTTCTCATTTAGCAAACAGACACTGTATTTAGGTTTAGCCCGTTCGATCTGGCTTACATTTGTGGGCCTTTGTTCCAGGGACAGTTTGGTTTTCAGACCCCAACCCCAACCCCCCCACTCTCCCCGCCATGCTGTTGGGACTCCCATTCAGTTCCTGCATGATGCCGTCACAGGGGTGCAAGGCAAATCCCTGGGCTGCCCGTTGCTGGTGGGTGACCTTCCGGGGACACAGGAGTCGAAATTGCTGAGTCCGAGTCTCCTTATTCCATAGGGTAAAAAATGCAGGAACAGTACCTGCTTAGCCCGGGATATACGCAGCAGATTTACTCAGCGGGTAAGTTTTTATTATCTTCGGCGCTGCCACCACTTTTTATAACATTGTGCCTCAGGTGGACGCTACAGCAATAAACTTCCTTGTCCAGTCCTGAACAAAATAGGAAGTGGGGGCTCCCATTGTAGTCTCCATTACCTGCTCATCCATTCATCTTTTAGTTGTCTTCTGGTCCAGCTCCACCTTGAGGTGTCTTTAGCTATCCACTCAGATATGCAGCCTATGCCCTGCGTCACGGGCGCAGTGTTAGCATGGTGCTCGGTAGTATCTCCAGGCTCTCAGCACTGCCCTGGGTACCCCTCTCAAGACAGGGTTTGATCTGGTTTGGTAATTTGTGTTCTCATCCAAGCATGATGCATGGCACGTGGGTCTCGGGTGCTTATTAAATACCCAGGGAGAGTTAGTGGAGGCTAATGGAAGAGGCCCAGGGGAGCGGAACTGCGTGGGAGGAATCGTAACATCCCTACCTGTGTCTGGGCTTAGGCAGCTCTCAGCAGAAAGGGCATTCAAGGCCCACAGTGAAGCTTGTCGAGATTTGGATGTGAGCAGGACACTTGTCATTCTTCTGGCCACTGGTCCCCCATCTTCTCATCCTGATTTCTGTAAGGGAGGGTAGAACCTGTTCACCATATGGAAGCTGAAACTCTGGCCTCCATTCAGCTCAGGGGCCAGTTAGGGAGCTCAGGCACCCAAGCTTGGAGTAACCTCCCTGGATTTGAACTGAGAGACAGAGACTCCAGACGGTGAGTCTACCCGCGAGAACCATGACAGTGGTGCCATATGCAGACTGCTGAAGCTTCTTGGGTGGCAGAGGCGGTGGGCTGCTGGTCCATCTCATGTCTGACAGCCCCCGGATTGGTGAGGCTCACCACAGCATCTGGTGGCCTGGTGGTGTTGCAGTGGAGCCCTTGCCAGGCAGGCTTGCAGGAGGCTTGGGGCCCCTGCTCTATGGTGTGAGGTCCCAAGTTATGCTTATTTGCCAGATGGCAATACTGTGAGCCATCCAGATGTCCTTTGCATACATTCCCTCTTGCTTGGATCAATCGCAGTTGTTTTTCTTGCTTACAACTCCAGTTGACTTGATACCCTGGGACTGAGATGAAGGAAGGCTTAACTAGGCTTTGGAAATCTTGAAGTCCTGTGTGTCTTACTGACAGAGATTATATCTTGGTAAGAGTCATTTTTGACTGTTAAGTAAAGTGCTTTCTAGCGAATCTACATTTATCTGATTTCATCCCATTCTGTACTGATTCATGAGATTTTCAAATTTATGATTGTCCGAAGTGTTTGGTGACATTGTTAAAAACCTATCATTATTTCCCCCTGACATACAATGTGTATATTCTTTCTTTTTTATACAAAGAACTGTGGATGGTATTATGATTAATGTTATATGTAAGAGAGAAAATAAGCCATAATTTATTCTCTTTGATTGATTATGATTTTAATTTATACAGTTAGCCATCAGTAGCCATGGGGAAATGGTCCTAGGATCAGCCCCTCCCCATGGATACCCAAATTGACAGATGTGGCTTACACAAAACGGAGCATGTTTGCATGTGAACTGTGCATATTCTTTTGTATCTTTTCAATCACCTTCAAGTTATTTATATACTTACGAAAGTACAGTGAATACTTACTATAATATATTATTTGGGGAATAATGAGTTTTTTTTGACATTCAGTATCTGTGTAATTTTCTTCCTAAATATTTTTAACTTGGTTGATTGAATCCCAAGGGTACGGAACCCATTAGATCCAGATTGCCAGATATATTTGTTTGTTTGTTTTCTGCCATGCACAGAGCAGAACATCAGGACCCCATGCATTCACATAAGACCCAATAATATGCCATGCGTGTTAAGGCTGGATTTGTGCTAGAAACGTTCATGTGTTCGTCATTAGAGCATCAATAAGACCACACTCAAGATGGCCAAATACTGGGTGGCATGAATAAATCCTGAGTTGAAACAAATATGATCCCAACTGGGATACATTCGGGCTGCTTGATTCAGCTCTGCTGACAGAGTTAGCACCGTGCACAAAGACACACAGATAAAAATGCATTAAGACCCCTGTTGTCAAGACAGGAAACCCACAGCCTTGGCTTACAGTAGACCTTGGACTGATGGCACACCTGGGCATTTGGCTTCTTGGCATTGCTGGTCTTAAATCATTTTCTCAGTGAAATTTTGTCTCTGATTTCAGACGCTCTTTTTCTTTTCTTTTCTTTTTTTTTCTCATTGAGCAGAGAATACATTTCACTTGCTTTTGCAATCTCTCTCGTGTGTCTTTTTTCTTCCCCCATAGGTTGGAAGTTCCACAAATACCCTGAACGCCCTGAAAATTGCTTTTGCTGATAAAGAAACACAAGCCATCTACCTTTTGACAGACGGGAGACCTGATCAGGTACTGATTCAAACTGCTAATGGAGAGGAGTTGAAGAATGCCCCGAAAGGGACGGCGGAGAGGGGGATTGAGACCTTTACAGAGGACATCACAAGGCAGAGAAGCTGATCTTGGTGACTCAAACCTGTCATGCCACTTACACAGGAGGCTGAGGCAGGAGGATGGCAAGTTCAACAGCTGCTTGGTTATGGGATGAGTTCAAGGCCAACATAAGCAACTTAGCAAGACCCTGTCTCAAAACTCTGTTTTGAAAAACTTAAAAAGAGGGTTAAGAATATAGCTCAGGGATGAGTACTTGCCTACGCATTCAAAAGGCTCCGGGCTCAATATCCAGGCCCCCCGTACCCCCCCCCCCCCAAGAGATATTAAGAGCTATGTCCCTGGCATAGGGAACCAGTACTGAGGTAAGAAAAGACACCAAGGAACACCCTTGACTTCTATAACTGAGGAACATTTATGGCATAGTGACGGCAGTTGAATGTTTATGCTTAATATGACCCATATTCACAGACCCGGAGACCATGCCCCGGGAAGGAGATGCCTGCCTTCCATTGCACACTGCTTTATGTCTTATGACAAACTAGGACCGTGGAGATGGCTTTCAATTTCGTTCCTTTGAGGACTCAATCTAAACATGTCACCGGGCAACGTCCTTGGTCCTATCCCTAATTTTAGCTTCACCCTTCCTTAAACAAAAGCATGCCTTTCAACTGAAACGTTCTTGCCTTTGTTTAGCCTGCCTGGAAAAAAGTATTTGAAAAGTTTTAGAAGAGCCTGTTCTGTTTCTTTCGAGCTTTGTGAATGAAAGACGAGTACTACAGGCATTAAGTAAATAGGAGGATTTTCCAGGCCAGCACAATGTAAATTGACTGCTAAAGTGAATTAGTATCAACATGTGTCCTGCCTCGGAAGATGTTTACATGTGCAGACTGCCTGTTCTAAAATACCCTGTGTCAAATGACTCAAGGATTAAATACTGAAGCCACCGTATTTTACTGCTGCATTAGATTTATGACAGAGAAGTGTCACGTTAGTGAAATTTAATTTGGAATGCCTTCCCTGTCAACTTCACGGTGATTTCTATTCAGAAGCAGTCTGTGACTCTCTTGTGTGTCCTGGGTGGTGCCGAGGTTTGAGCGATCCTTGCCTTAGGGAAGTTTACGTTTAGGGAATGTGCTCGATGTATACAGTTCATTTTGATACAATCCAGGGGCTGAGATTGTCTGGTCTAGGACTAGCAGCACAGAGGGATGAATTTAGCTATACAAGATGGACAGAAAGCCAAGAAAGGTCCTCTAGTAGAGGCAGGCATTTGTACTGTGTCTGGAAAGGAGAGAAAAGGCTTTCTGAAAAGAGGAGACCAAATTGTCCTGGGTAGTGGGTACAGAAGGGTGGGCATAGGGGTGGGAGGGTCACGCTCAGAGGAACAACCCGGGCATGATGGAAGTGTGCAATGTAAGGTGAGGAAGTCTGATGCAGGCAGTTGTGCAGGTTAAAAGGGTGGGTGTCACCTCAGTGGGGACCTTTCATAGAAACAGAACTTGTCACCCCTCCATAGTTTGGAAACATGATGCCCTGATAATGCTAGGAACAAGTCAACTGTGCCAGAGCTTCTTCTGGGACCTCGACAAGGGCCTGTAAGCAGTGGCAGCTGGTAGCTGGGAAACTGGGGAGGAAGGGACTTCCATTGGAGTCAGTGGGACTTGGTACCTAGTTCAGGAGCAGGCAGTGGGGGAGAGGAGAAGGCTGGAGGTGGGGAGAAAGGGGTTAACTACCTTTTGGCTCATCATATTAGTAACCCAAGTGGAATTTCAATTAAGAGCAAACAGGTCTGGGGTGCTGGTGAGCAGATAATTTGTATACTTGGGCTGCGTGGATGTCCAGAAACGCCAAGAAATATGAGGATGGTTCAGTAGCTCAGGGCTTCCCACACAGCATAGCCTTCCATGGATCTAGACCCTCACATCAGTATATCCAAAGGACATTCATGTAGCTTTCTGAGGATCAGTAGCTTTTCTGAGAGAGACTGTGGGTCATTTAAACGTGGACAGCTGGAGTCCAAATGACAGTTACCTGAAACGGAACTTATAGATGCTTCAAAGTGTTTGGTGTTCGTGTTTACCTTTTCACACGTGGGCCTCTTTACTTTGCATTGTCTGTCAACAGATTCTGTCAACAAAGTAAACAGATATCAGATATTTGTGTTCTGTGTAAAATAGGTTAAGAAGTCCCTCCCAGCCTCCATTGTTTTAGTAGTGGAAAAACAAGTTCAAGCCAACACATGGCTGAAGAGCCCCAAGCTCACTCAGGACATTCTTCCTGAGCTTAGCTGGCAGGAGGGAGGAGCCCTTGGGGGTGGGAATGGGGTGGATTCATTTGTTTGGCAGTTTTCCCCACCTTTGAGGAAGCTCGCTGTATAAGGCCAGTGTGATTCAAAATACTCAGCGGTCTTTTCTTCTTGGATGAACACGTGGATGTCTAGATCCACCGACATCCGCTTACTGGTCGTTTCATGGTCAGGCCAGCAGCGTTAGAAGGCGACACACATCTTTAAAACTCATCATGTTACAAGAATTTTAGAAATGTCAGTCTTCATTAAGGTGGAAAGAGTCTATTACTCAGGTGTCCTCTGGTGGGCATGGGCGAAGTCTAGTCCAGCTGTGGCTATGGTTATTTTAGGACTCCTTCAAAGTCAAAGTCTTTACAAATGGATGGGACAAATAATTTTGCATCCTTCTAAAATGAGAATAATGGATAAAGCCTAACACGGGCCCTATGAAGTCTAGGGGATGGACAAGTCATAGGTGGGGAGCCTGCCCGGGAGTCCTTAAGGTAGCAAGGAAACCCCGTTTCCCGCTTTCCCACTGCCCTGGGTTGATGATGGAGAACAAGCCGCACTGCTTGCTGCTCAGCCTCCTCGAAGGGACTGAAGAGAGCTGGCAGCCTCCGGGAGGAACACAAGAGCGTCCCTGGGCTGAGAAAAGCTTCCCCACTGTTTCACAGGAGTGCGAGAGGCGATGGTCCTCCACTCCACAGCCCAGAGGAACCTGCCAGTAAGCATCTGTGAAGAACCAGAGGGAGCCAGGCTGCTGTGGGACGAGGTTGATGTTGACCTCTGGGGTCTTCCTCGTCAGTGCTCCCAGGGTGTACACCAGCTGTGGCAGTCTTCAGCAGGTAGAAGATAGGAGTGGCCTTGGCATTCCACGGAGCTTGCGGGCCAGTCCAGGGCACGCCATTTCTCGCCCCAGCTCTCTAATGCCACAGGGGGGCGCTGGAACACTGTTCCAGCTTAGCACTGCGGGGCCTGGGGTTGGGTGCAGATGGTGGGCTTCCTTTGTTGCCTTTGGGTCCCCGCGCTCTTTGGTCGGTGGTTTGCATATTGAAGTGAAATAACAGATAGACAAAAGGTCACTCACTGTACGAGCAATTCCTGTCTCAGAATTTGACTGCCTATGGCCAGTACTAAGAGTTTGTCCCATGATACCTTTTTCTTTCTCTCTTACCCTTCCCCGTGACCCTTACCATCATTTCAGCCACCAGAAATGGTGATGGACCACGTCAGACTTTTCCAGACGATTCCCATCTATGCCATTTCCTTCAACTACAACGACGAGGCTGCTAACGAGTTCTTGAAGGAGCTTGCGTCTCTGACTGGAGGGGAGTTCCGTGCTTATGATTTTGGTTGCAAGGATCCCGTCGTTCAGGATGTTGAGGATGTTCAGGTGGGGACTTGGCGTGCCGAACAAGATGGTTCACTCATTCACCCGAGTGTTCCAAGTCTCCGAGATCAGGGCGGCACCAGAGCGGGGGTGGGGGAAGGGTGGGGGTTGGAAGGTGGGGGTAGGGGGTGGATGGGGGTAGGGGGTGGGGTAGGGGTGGGGAAACTGCAGCCGTGTACAAAACCTTGCAAGCAGCCAATGCACTAATGATGCACCAGTGTTTCTCCAAATGTGGCCCAAGGATCTCAGGACACCTGTGACAATGTGGACCACGTGGTCACAGGTGCAAGCCAGGAAGTTGTATAGGTGTATAGGCCCAAGGATCTTAATGTATTTTATTTTCTTCTTTTTTTTTGTGGTAGGAAGCTTTAAATATACACAAAAATATAAAAACACATGGGCCGGGCGGTGGTGGCGCACTCCTTTAATCCCAGCACTCGGGAGGCAGAGGCAGGTGGATCTTTGTGAGTTCGAGGCCAGCCTGGTCTACAGAGCAAGATCCAGGAAAAGGCGCAAAGCTACACAGAGAAACCCTGTCTCAAAAAAAAACAAAAAACAAAAAAAAACAAAAAAAAACCACATGGATCCAATTTAACCACCACTCAATTCAGCAGTTAGGAACATTTTGTCAAAGCTCAGCGGTCCGTTTTAAAAACAAGGATCCCAGGGATCCATATGTAAAGAGAGGGTTTTTTTAAAAATTTTTTTGAAAATAGATATTATTTAATGTGTATAGATGTTTGCCTGCATGTATGTCTGTATTCTGCATGCATGCCTAATGCCTAGGGAGGTCAGAAGAGGGCTTCAGATGCCCCGGAGTTACAGATGGTTGTAAGTCACCATGTGGCTGCTAAGAATCAAACCTGGGTCCTTTGTAAAAACAGCCAGTGCTCTTAACCACTGGGCCAGTTCTTCAGACCATGCATATAATGGCCTTTAACTACTGCTGTGTAAACACATGTATGTCAGAAACATTTAAAAAATTGCAGGTGCTGAATAGCTCCTAACTCCTCAGGGGATGTAACTATGTGACCATCTGATAAAGCAATTCACTCTGATGGGTGAAAGTAAAGAAAGTATTCCCCAATCCTCCAGTCTTGGCCTGAGGGAAATGACACTAGGAACTCTGAGGGAGGAACGTGGGGCTGTTGCTTTTTTGTCTTCTTGTATAAGCACAATTCAGAAACTGATCAACCTTTAGGGTGGGGAGACTACCCGAGTCTGAGGACTGGACCAGGCAGGGGATCAGAGGGAACTGTGCTCTGAGATCACCCAAGGCTGGGAATAGTGATGACTTGGTCAGTGAGAATGGGTCCTCCTTTGGGTATTTTGTAGAATACACAGAATGGTAACGCTTCCATAGTTTAAGTCTTAAGGACAAGGCTTGAAAGGATGAAACTATTTTCAAGTAACTTAACTATATGAATCATAGAACAACTCCCCTAAATAATGATAGGGAGACAAAAATGTCTACATTGTCTGGAAACCAATCAAATATTATCAGGCTTGCAGAAAAGCAGGAAAACATCTACCTATAATGAAAAAAAGCACTGTAGCTGATGTTAAGGTGTGTGTGTGTGTGTGTGTGTGTGTGTGTGTGTGTGTGTGTGTGTGTAGTGCTAATGAAGACAACATGGCTTTGGTGGGTGAATAGCTACATAAACCATTGGAACAGCTGCAGGAATACCCAGGTACAGCTTTTAGAGAGAGGTTCAAAACAGTTCCAAGAAGGAAAGGTTGCCTTTCCAACAAATAATTGGAACAACTGACCATGCACAGATAAAGTGATGAACCTCAACTGAAATGCGGATCTGCATGCACATAGAGATCATGCACATGCAAAGTAGATCATGGGTTCCTACCCCAACTCCCCTCAATGAAGGACAGGAACCTGTAAGATGAAATAAATACTTTCTGACCCAAGTTGCTATTGGTCAGAATGTTTTTATCACAGCAACAGAGAACAGACTAGAACAGCCAGCCTGGGAAATTTAATGAGACCTTTAAGAAAAACTTAAAGATGGTCTGGGAGATGTAGGTCAGTGGTAGAGCACTTGCCTAGCATGTACATCATCCTGGGTTCACTGCCTAGAGCCATAAAAGCAAAGAGTCCACTTAGAAAACCTGCAGACCACATGCAGACATTCTCCTGAAGAGGCCTCACGGATGTGATGAATAAGCACCTGAGAGGGGGCTGGGTACCACCAGCCTTAGAGGAACACAACCCCAACTCCAGGCTCTGTTACTCCATGTCCATCAGAATGGCGGAGGAATCTGAGTGCTGGTGGGGTGAGAAACCAGGTCACTAACACACTGCTGGCTGGAGTACAAAATACAGGCATGCTGAAAAGCAGTCTGGCAGTTTCTATAAAAGCAAAATATTTAGTTACCGTATGACCTGGCCCTGTAGCTAGAGTTTTCCTGCCTGGCCCACAGTCAGGACAAATCTCTGTCACCCGCCAGTCCCACAGCCACTCAGACCCAACCAAGTAAACACAGAGACGTATATTGCTTACAAACTGTATGACCATGGCAGGCTTCTTGCTAACTGTTCTTATATCTTAAATTAAACTGTTCTTATATCTTAAATTAACCCATTTCTATAAATCTATACCTTGCCATGTGGCTCGTGGCTTCCCAGCATCTTCACATGCTGCTTGTCATGGCGGCGGCTGGCAGTGTCTCCCTCTGCCTTCCTGTTCTCTCAATTCTCCTCTCTGTTAGTCCCACCTATACTTCCTGTCTGGCTACTGACCAATCAGTGTTTTATTTATTGACCAATCAGCAACACATTTGACATACAGACCATCCCACAGCATGGTCCTTGGTCTACTGGGCATGCATTTCAAAGAATGAAAGCTTATGTTCATATAAAGTATAAGTAGCCCTACATCTATTTAAAAAGTGAGTTCATAGTTAAATGGTTTCCTCACGGTAACTCCAGCCCCAGATGATTTCACTGCTGAATTGTACCAAATATTTAAGATGAAAGTAATATCAGTTCTGGGGCTGAAGGTGTAGCTCAATGGTAGAACATTTGCTTAGCACGTACAAGGATCTGGGTTTGATCCTCTGTACTGGAAAGTAAGTTGATCTTTGGTGATAGATTCTTCATGTGGGAATTCGTGCAGGAATACAATGCTAGTTTAACATTTAAAAATCAACATATAAGGTGCCATAGCAACATGCTTATTTCTGTATTTATTGTTTTATTTTACATGTATGAGCATTTTGCCTGCATGTGTGTCTGTACACCACATGCGTGACTGGTGTCCTTGGAGGCCAGAGGAAGGCATTGGTTCCCTGGAACTGGATCACAGGTGTTTGTTCCTCTGAGAGAACAGTCCGTGCTCTTAACTGCTGAGCCATCTCTCCAGTCCAATATTGTTATTTTTATTTATCTTTTGAAAATTTCATACATGTACACATTCTTCACTATTCCCTTTGAACTCCCCTAGGACCCACCAACCCACCTCCCTCACGACTTCACGTCTTTGTAAAGAATTACTAATAGCTTCCTGAGTCTAATTAGTGCGGACCGTGTGTGAGTGGGTACGGAGCCATCTACTGAGTCCTAAGCAGCTGTTATCAGCCCATCATTCCTCAGCTTATTAAAGACAAAACAAAACTTAAGTCTAGAGAAATGGCTCGGAGATGAAGAGTACTTGTTCCTCTTCCAGAGGACCCAGGTTCGGTTCCCAGCACCCACATAGCAACTGACAACCAACGGTAACTCCAGTTTGAGGGGATCACACACCCGCCTCTGCCCTCCACAGGTCCCAGGCACGCATGTGGTACACATACATAGCATGCGGGTAAACCACCCATACCCATAACATGAAATAAATCTTTGTAAAAATACAGCCATTTCAACTTATACATTAAAAACTTTTTACCAGATTCCCTGCACATTTCTGTAATAATTAAATCCTCAAATACCAGGCAAGGTGCAAGGATGCGCGCTCTTGCCACTTCACACATCAGAAGCATAGGGAACGAAAGGCACCAGAGTGGAGGGAAGTCTGTCTTTATTTCCATTCAGCAGCGTCATCGAGTTAGAAAATACTGTGGAACACACAAAGGAGTTCCTGGAGCCGATCATTGACTTTAGCCAGATCGTGTCCTAAGAGCACGTGTACAAAAACCAACCTTGTCTCCAACTACTAGTAAAGAACAACAGACATTTTAAATACAACTCACAGACGACAGCATCAGAAACAAAGAAAGAAGGAAACTGTGTGGGGATACATGGGTCAAAGTATGTGAAAGACCTTCACACGGACAGCGGTGAGACTCTGCTGAGGGGTGCGTTCTGAATGCGTGTTGCAGGACTTGACAGTGTTAAGCTGTCCATTCTCTTCCAATGGATCCGTCATTCAATACAATCCCAGTCAAAATCTAAGCGGGATTTTAATAAAAATGAACCAACTGGGGCTTGGGTGACGGACGGGTCAGTGGGTGAGAGCCCTCACTCGCTCTGCAACCATGAGGACCCGAGTTTGAATCCCCAGCCCCCATGTAAAAAGCCAGGCCTAGCTGCAGGTGCCTATAACTCTGGCATTATGGGGCAGAGACAAGCAGGTCCTGAGAGTTTGCTGGCCATCAGCGTAACTGAAATCCGAAGTCTCTGGTTCACTGAGAGCCTTGTGTTCAAGGGAGGAGACAGAACTCCCTGTGTCTGCACCTGCACATTCACATGCATATCACACACACACACACACACACACACACACGCACACGCACGCACACATGCACATGCATGCACACACACGTGCATGCACACACACACGCGCACACACACATACACACCAGCAAACTGATCCTATGGAAAGGCCAAGGATTTATCATTACCAAAATAACTTTTCTGAAGAACAAAACTGGAGGGCAGGTTATCCCTATGTAGCCCAGGCTGGTGGCCTCAAACTCTTGATTCTCTTACTTTGGCCTCCCAAGGACTGTGGTCGCAGGCGTGTGCCACAATGCCTAGCTGAAAAAAAAAATGTTTTTAGATAGGATATAAAAATTGTAATCTGTAGGCAAATAAGTTGATTATTTGGAATAAACCAAAATTAGAAGCTTCTTCTCTGAAAAGACTGCTGCAATATTAAAAAGAAATCCTTAGAGTAGGAGGGGAATATTTTCAAATTCTATGTCCACTGAATGACTTATACCCAGAACATTAAAAAAATTCTCAAAACTCAATAATGAGAAAACTCAAAATATGGGCCAAATTTTTGAACAGGCATTTTATCAGAAAGAATATAGATGGGACCAGGTCAAGGGGCTGCACACCTGTAATCTGCTAGTGAAGGTGCAGGCAGGAGAACCGTGAGTTCAAGGCTAACCTGGGATATAGAGCAAAACCCTGTTCTAGGGGAAAACAAACATTAACAAAACAACATGTGTCTGATAAATAGCACGAAAGGATGCTCATCCTGATTAACAACAAGAAACCCACATTAAAACCACAAATTATGCAAGTGTTAGACGGGCGGAGATTCAGCAGCCTTCTGTGCTCTCTATATTTGCAAGGATGTGGAGGGTCTGGGACTCATCCCTTACCGGCACGATTATAAATTGAACAACCGTTTTGGAAAACAGCTTGGTAGTTCATCAGTGACATCACCATCCACACGATCTAGTTATCCAAGACTCCCGTTTACCAAAAATAATTAGAAGCGCGTGTCCACACAGATGAGTCATACACAAGTGTTCATAGCTTTATCTGCAACAGCCCAAGCCTGGAAAGGGCTCAGAGGCCCATAAGCCAGTGAATGTGTTTTTATATTTACTATACAGTAGAAAACTACTTGACAATAAAATGAATGAATGGTGGGTTCGCACTACAATATGAGTGAATTTCAAAATAATTAGGAGTGGAGGGAGCTCCAAAGGATTTGAGCATTATTGTATGATTCCATCTGTAGCGTTCAGATTAATGTGTAGTGACAGAGTATGTTGAGTAATTGCTTGGTCACTGGGGAGAAGGGTTAGAGGAAGGAGAGTAGATTTACAGGGGTGGGGGTGCTTTGGGGAGGTGGTGGGTATATTTACTACTTTGGTCATAATACCTCACATGTGTGACTGTGTAAATTCCCTTTATTGTGTGACTAATATACCATAAAGTTGGTTGGACATGGCATGGTGAAAGCATCCCATGAGATTCTTTAGGTTTTTCTCCGCCTCATGCTGTCTCTGCCCAAGGTGTTTGCACTCTCCCGGGAGTGACTGTCCACTTCTCCCTTCAGCAGGATGAAGACATGAGCCTTTTGGTTCAGGAAATGCAGCAGGGCTACAGTGACCTGGAGAAGATGCAGGAGCTTTACTCGGAGACCTTAGTCATGGACTGGTGGTACAGCAGAGAAAAGCAAGGAGACAGCAAGTGAGCGGCCAAACCACCTGCCTCCCTGTGGCTGGGGCCTCTCCCCTGCTCCCAACACCCCCTCCGCTCCCTTCCTGCTTCCTCCAGGCCCCCAGCCCTCCCTCTATCCCCCAACTCTCCCCTGCCTGCCCCGCTCCCTCCCTGCTGCCTTCACTCCCCCCCACCCCCACTTGCTTTCCCCTTTCTAAAGGGCCTTGGGGGAATCTAGAGAGAGAAGTATGTAGTCTGGTCCTGTTAGGGTATTTTACAGAAAGAGGATTGTCTGGTAACAGTGAGCTTGAGGTCACATACGCACTGTGTATTCTGTATCCAGTGTAGAAAGCTCCCCATCCCAAGCAGTGACAGGGCAAAGAGGGGTGGGTGCCTGAGATGGAGACTTAGCCCAGAGATCAAAAGCCTGAGGTCTGGGCTTCCTTCTGTGAAATGTTGATAGGTACTTAACTTCCTCTCACACTTTTCCATGCCCTGGGATCTGTTTCTTTATCAGGGCTGTGGTGACAGGTTGGGGATACATACTTCTTCAGTCTTTCTCCAGCCTGTACTGTGCTTCTCATTCATTTGTGATGGTTCCGACAAAACCGCAACCCATCCCAACACTCAGGAAATGTGTCACAGCTGATTCAAGTGATTTAAGGTTGTTCGTACAGATAGTCAGGCCCGTTCTGCCAGGAAAATAGCTAAAAGGGAGATAGCAAACAGAAAGACGGGAGATACATTTATTAACCAGATTTTTTTATTCATCTAAACAAAGTCTTCCTATTAATGAATTAAGCATGAACACAGATATCAAATATCAAATTAGGAGAAAAAGAGGGCTGTCCTAGAGTGGGTTGTCTTAGGAAATTTTGCAGTGTTTTCTTTGAGAATTTGGGGAAGCACAAATGGTTTCTAAACTTCGCAAATAAACTGAAAATCAAATAAGCAAACATCACTTGAGATTAAGCTGGCATCTCCGTTTCTTTCAACTAGCACCTTAACTGTCTTCCTCGTTTAAACGAAGAAAATCTTAGACAAAATGGCCAGCTGTTTCTTAGAACTTGGATTTGGTCTGTTGTCTGAGCAATGGATGTGATGTTGGTTTTTTGTGTTTTCTGTTGTCGGGGGTCGGGGCGGGGGGGTGGGAGGGGCTGGGAGGATCACATGCTGGAGTTGGAGACTTGTTGCTATTGCAACTGTCACACTTCGAGCAAGTTGCTTAATCTCAAGGAGGCTTTACTTTCCCATCTGTAATGTGGGAAAGGGTGGTGACGGGTGGTAGAGCGGATGTGTGTGGCTCACAGTAGGAACTCGGACTTAATAAACAAAAGAGGTGGCTCAGCCTACAGAAGCCACACTTCTCCGTTTAGTTAACGGCACTAGGAAAGTGGTTTCTTCCACTTAGCTATTATCAACAACAGACTACCGTTTTGAAGTTTTCCGTTAGGAAAAAAATGTAGCAGCCTCCAAATCTTTTTTTTTCCTTTTAATGTGCTGAGGACAAACCATGCACCAGGAGAAGTGGGTGCATGAATCCTGGTCCTTTCTGCTGTGGGATGGATGCACAGTGCAGATGTTTTCACACAAAAGACAGACCATGGGGTGGGGTCACACAGCTGTTCTGTGGCTGCTCTTTTCAGAGCCCAGAGACAGAAATGCCTGGGAGGAGACTTGAGCCTTTCTGGATCCCTCCTGGTCTCAGAGATTCTCTACAATCGTTTGCTGCCATTTTTGCTGGTGTGGGAAGTCTGATGTTTAACAAGAGCTTGCTAAATGACACTTCGGTTAGAGAATTGGCTTGGTTTCCATAGCGCTGGCATGCTGCCTCCCATTCCTCCTCACGGCAGCCCCCTGTAGTCAGTGCACAGAAGAAGCTCCTGAATCGAGTGACTTCAGTGAGGTCACACATCTGTGATAGGAGTCGCACTGCCAAACTCAAGGGCTGGACCTGACTATTCTCCTGTCTCCGTGCACCCAGGCATATTAGTGCTTAATTTGAGAGCAGGAAGACTGAGTTTTAGTGAACAGGAAGGTTGGATCAATACATGTCTTTTAGCCTTCCCATTTTGCTGACACTCTTTGTTAAAAGGACTTCCTCCTGAGAGGGTAGCCTGGGGATGCTCACTTCTTTTATTTGTCTGTAGTGTTCAATGTGAATGTATTAATCTGCTTCTCTTCCTTCTTAATGGACATTTTTCTTATATCCTTTTTATTGGTCTACTTAAAAAAAAAAATCTGACCCAAACAGGCATCAAAAGGAAATCTCCTCCGTGGTTTCCAGCCCAGAAAAATGTGCAAACTCTCCATCGGATGCTGACTCAAAGGCTGTGTCACCTCCAAAAGTGTTTAAAGGACCGCGGAAGGTTTTAGATGGGAAGACACAGAAGAAGAAAGTCCTCCATGCAGGTACTTGTGCACAGAACGGCATGACTCTCGGCTGGTTTTCCTCCAGTGAGGTGGACTAAAACCAAACCCACATGGAATTTCTTTTAAGACCCTAATTTAAGCATTGTTTGTTTATTTTGGTGCCTTGCTCATTCCTGGCAAGCCCACCACCTCTGAGCTACCCTAAACCTCTTGTGTGTGTGGTTTTTTTCAATGAATTTTATTAAGACAATTTGCATGATATCATAGCATTACCCCCACGGTAACATCTTACAGAATAATATTATGACACCACAATCAGGGTATTGGCATTGGTAAAACTCAAAGGTTTTGTTGTTCCAGCTTTTCTTGTCCGACTGTTGGGTTTTTATCATATGTGTAGGGATGCAGGGGAATTCCATCCCATGAGGGCCCTTTACATTTCCCCTTTATGGTCACACCTACACATCTTACATACCTTCTCCTGCCCTTTGGGAATCACTATGTTTTCTTTCTAAAATGTTACATTTCAATATTTATATTATATTATATTATATTTATTTGGTTTTTCGAGATAGGGTTTCTCTGTGTAGCTTTGTGCCTTTCCTGGATCTCATTCTGTAGCTCAGACTGGCCTTGAACTCACAGAGATCCATCTGCCTCTGCCTCCTGAGTGCTGGGATTAAAGGCATGCGCCAACGCCACCCGGCCAATAGTTCAGCTTTTAACCTTTACCCTAGTGATGAGGTTTTCATTCATTCATTTACTCACTCATTCATTTAAAATAATAACAAAATAAAATATAATAAGGTAAAACAAAAACTATCACATTGAAGTTGGATAAGACAAACCAACAGAAAAAAAAAAAAAGAGCCAAAGCCGGGCGGTGGTGGCGCACGCCTTTAATCCCAGCACTCGGGAGGCAGAGCCAGGCGGATCTCTGTGAGTTCGAGGCCAGCCTGGGCTACCGAGTGAGTTCCAGGAAAGGCGCAAAGCTACACAGAGAAACCCTGTCTCGAAAAACCAAAAAAAAAAAGAGCCAAAGCACAAGAATCAGAGACCCACTGAATGCTCAGGAATCCCATAAAAACCACTAAACTGGAAGCAGAGGACCTGGTGGAGACCCATGCAGGCCATGAGCATGCTGCTTCTGTCTCTGTGAGTTCATATGAACTTTGCTCATATTGATTTAGAAGGCCTTGTTTTCTTGGTTTCCTCCACCCCCTCTGGGTCTTACATTCTTTCCATCTTCTCTTCTGAGGGGTTCCCTGAGCTCTGAGGGTAGAGATTTGGTGGAGACATCCCATTTAGGGCTGATTGTTCCAAGGTCTCTCTCTCACTCTCTGTATAATGTCTGGCTGTGGGTCTCTGTATTTGTTCCCATCTGCTACAGGAGGAGGCTTCTCTGATGATGGCTGAGCAAGGCACTGATCTATGAGTATAACAGAATGCCATTAGGAATCATTTTATCTCTACATTTTTCTTTTTCTTCTCCTCCTTCTCCTCCTCCTCTTCCTCCTCCTTCTTCTTCTAACAGTATTATTTGGTTTGCCCTAGGTCCCCGGGCTATCTAATCTCAGGTTCTTGGTTACACAACAGTGTTGGGTATGGGTTCCATCTCATGGAGTGGGCCTTAAGTCAAATCATTTATTGGTTGGTTACTCACACAAGGTTTGTGCCACCGTTGCCCTAGCATATCTTGTAGGCAGGACACCATTGCAGATAAGGGGTTGTGGCTGGCTTGATCTTTACATTTCTCTTTTGAGAGCATTCCGAGTACATTCCAGTTCCAAAGATGATGGAACATAGGGATGAAGGCTCTATGCAGACACCCGCTTGACATTTCCGTCTTCAGTGAGTTGTGTAGGTGTTGTCTTCAGCAACGGGGCCTTGCTGACAGTTTGTGGAGATCAACCTATAGTCTTGGCAACAGCCTGGGTTATTTGGATTTCCATGGGATCCCTTTGGCCAACAACTCAATTAGATATAACCCAAACCTGGTACTGGAAACTTCATTTGGTGACATGAGATGGCCGGTTGAGACACTGTCTCCCCATTATTTGGTGATTTCATTTAGATTGCCCTCACATATGTATATATTTTAGGGAGTTTCTACTGTATTAAGTTTTCATATTACCCCTCTGCCCCCTTAATGTTAGCTGTATCTCCCTGTAACCCTTCCCACAATAACAACAACAACAACAACAACAACAAAACAATACTTCAGGGCTGGAGAGATGGTTCAGAACATGAGCGCTTGTTCTTGCAGAGGACCTGGGTTCAGTTTCCAGCACCTACATGGCAACCCACAACTATTTAACTTCAGTTCCAGTGGGTCTGACATCCTCTTCTGGCCTCTGTGGTGTGGGCACCAGGAATGCACATGGTGTAATACATATGTACAGAAAAAATACTAATATACACAAAATAAAAACAAAGCCTTTTAGAAAACTCAATACTTCATTTCATTAATTTTACATGTTGGTAAAGATCAGTGGAACATTTTTATGTGCATTAAATTTATTTTCTGTGTTCTGTTTCATTGATCCATTCTCTTCCCTTTGCCAATACCGTTTGGTCTTGATTTGGTGGGTATCAACATCACAGACAATGATTTCTCTAGTGTTTTATTCTAAAGAATAGTTTGATTATTCTAGGCCTTGATGTTTTTGTGCGAACTTTAGAATACATTTGTCCATTTCAATTATAAAACTCTCTGAGATTCATTAGTAATTGCATGAATTGTATGATTTTGTTTGGCAGATCACCCAACTTGTAAGCATGGAATTTCTCTCCATTCATTTGGGTCTTCTTTGATGTCTAACAGTAGCATTTTGTAATTTTCAGCATATCTCATAAAAATACAGTAGCTGATTTTTGATGACTCTGTAACTGGGTACTTTGCTGAAGAGTTCTACTTTGGGTAGATTTCTTGTCATGTTCTCTAGGGTCATACCATATTAGTAGGGATACTTTTGTATTTCTTATCTCCATTCTTTCTGGCTTTATTTCACCTTCTTGCCCCATTTCAGTGGCTAGAATCTCTAGTACTATTTTGAATAATGGTAACAGTGGTCATCATTTTCTTTTTTCCAATATTGGGGGGAAAGAATTTTTTCCAATTAAATAAGATTTCAGCTGTGCAGATTTTCATCTATTCTTTATCAAGCTGAGAATGTACTCCACTTAACTTTCTGGAAGGTTTTTATTTTGCATCATGAATGGGTACTAGATTTCATTAGGTGCTTTTTCTATGTCAATTGATATCTGACTTTTCTTCTTTGGTCTATTGATGGGATAGATGGCATTGTTTGTTTTCAAATACTGAAGCAGCCTTATATATTTTTTTCTAGTTGACTTTCTGTTGCTGTGATTAAACACTCTGACCAGAAGCAACTTTGGAGAGGAAAGGCTTTATTTCATTTTAGAGTCTACCACTGAGGGAGTCAGGTTGGGAATTTCAGCAGAGACTTGAGGCAAATTCACAGAGGAACACTGTGCGCTGCTTTACCAGGCCCATAATTCACTAACCTTCTCATGCAGCCCAGGATCAACTGTACAAGGAATGGTGGCACCCACACTGGGCCAGTCCTCTTACACCAACCAACAACACTCCCACCCCCTTCCCTTTACCCCAACCCCCCCATCCCTACCCCCCAGGCCAATCTAATCTGCACAGTCCTTCAGTCGAGATTCCCTTTTTGGGTGACTCTAGGCTGTGTCAAGTTGTCAGTTTAAGCTAACTAAGACAACACCTTAAATATTTCCTAAATGGTCTCAGTGTACAGTGATTATAATCTATCACTCCAGTTGCTGATATATTTTGAAGACTTTCATGTCAAAGTTCATAAAAGTTCCTGGTCTTCAATTTCCTTTCTTTTTAAGGACTGTTTTCCGAGTTTTCATGCCAAGCTAACACCATCCTCATCAAATGGGTTGAGTTTTTTCTCCTCTTCCCTTCTTGGAAGAAAGGGATGCAAATTCTGTGTCTTATGTAACATTATCATGGAGACAACTGGACCCAGAAATCTCTGAAAAGAGATTCTTCATTCTGAGCTTGATTTCTCATGGTTTTAAGATGTCCTTATCATCTGTTTTATCTTGTCTGATTTTTGGAAATTCATGATTTCTTTTGAGAACTTGGTCATTTTCTTTCTAAGTTCTTACTTTATGAGGCAAGTTGTTCGTTGTGTTCCTTTATGGATTTTCAGTTGCTGCAAGGTCTGTAGTTATGCCCCCCATGTCTGTTGACATCATGATTTGTGTCTGTCTTCTCCTCTCGTTTGTATTCAGTCCTGTTAGGGGAGTTATCAGTTTTATTTTCTATTTATTTATTTCCCCTAAGAGAATTATATTTATTCATCAAAAATTTTTTTTATGGACAGCGTCTTTGAAATTCTCATCAAATAATTTTAATTTCTGATTTTCATTGATGACATTTTGTTGCCTTTTGTTATTCAAGGTGTGTTTTTCTTACTTCTTGACAGAAGAGTGAATATATTTGAAAACTACTTATTTATTTTAGTTGTGTGTGCATGTGTATATGTGTTGGGATGTATATGGGTGTTGTATGTGTGTATGTGTGTGTACATGTGTATGTATGTGTGCTGGGTATACTTCCATGAGTGCAGGTAACCGCGGAGGCCAGAAGAGGGCGTCAGATCCCCAGGAGCTGGAGTTTACAAGCTGTTGTGAGCCTCCTGACATGGGTGCTAAGAACTGAAGTGGGTCCTCGGCAGGAGCATCATGGGCCTTTTAAAACCACTGAGCCGTCTCTGCAGCCCTAAGTGGTGTTTTGTTTTGTTTTTTTGGTTTTTCGAGACAGGGTTTCTCTGTGTAGCTTTGCGCCTGTCCTGGAACTCACTCGGTAGCCCAGGCTGGCCTCGAACTCACAGAGATCCGCCTGGCTCTGCCTCCCGAGTGCTGGGATTAAAGGCATGCGCCACCACCGCCCGGCTCTAAGTGGTGTTTTTAAATAGTGCCCTGAGTGCTCTGCTGTATTAGAGACTCTGGATCCTATTGAAGTCTTTTATTTTGGCGTGTTGCCACCGTGTTTGTTAGACATGTTGACTATGGCCTGTTTTTGAGGGCTGTGGTTTCCATGATTTAGTAGTTTTCACTGCATTTCTGATAGATTTTTGTGTCTTCACTGGTACTGCTTGAAGTGGCAGCGTCAGGCTCCTCAGACCAGAGTGCTAAGTGTATCTCAGGAACTGCTGCCTCTTGGTGTCTCATGTGTCTAGGCAAGAAAAGGCCATCATAACCGTTGAGGCTCATGCGTGTCCTGTCTACTTGCTTTTGATGACACTGTCCAGAAGGCTAATGGTTTAGCCCTGTGGAAACAAACAGCCTCCATTCCCATCCTTGGCCGAATTCTTTTGCCATCCTATCTCTGGTGAGCCTGACTTTTGCTAGAACTACAGTTTTATGCTTCTTCTAAGTGTCTTAATGACTTTTGTCTCTCAGATTTGGGATCCTGGATATTGACAGGCAGCCATGCACTACATTTAATCTTACCTTAATGTTTAGTGTAGAAAAATAATGAAACATGGTGAGTGAGTGGACAGTGTGGGGAGCAGTTACACCATTGCCAAGTACAGGTTTTCACTTAGTTTTCTTCTGTGCCTCATTGATCTCTGGCCCACAGACATCATTCCCAAGAAAATGTGTCTTTTTTTTTTTTTTTAACTCCGGGCTAAAGCAACAGCCGAGACAGGATCTACCCCCTAGTTACTTAGAAAACCAATGAGCTTCATATGGCAAGCTCCCTTCTCCAGTCATGGAACCCACTGGGGTTACTACTCTGTGGATAAGAAGGGGAAAGAAACCCGGCCATGTGAAGATTTCCCACTAGTAATCATTGCTGCTATCTTGTGGGGAAGAGTGGGTCTGTTGCTGAGAACACAGCAGGATTCATTCACAGATGCCTACTTAGAGTTGTGGTGCTTGTGCCTCTGGCTCGTAAAGAGCACAGAACACGTCTACCACCAGTGCGTTTGGGTTATCAAATGTGGGAAGTAATCAAAACATCTTGCCATAGACTCATTATTCTTTAATGCCTACAAGGAAATGTCAATATTTGGTCAATGCCTTCTTCAGTTGCAAGGACTAACAGAGGGTACAGGATAATGCGATGTAAGCTGCCTGGCAGCAACTGTGGATAGCAGAATTTGTAAAGTGACCTAACAGAGATATCGCACAACTCTTAGGATTATGGATTATGTTGCGTTAACCTAAACACAAAGCGATCCAGGGGGGTTTAGTGTAACCACACAGAAATCCCTTTAAAGAAATGGGAGCTTTCTCTAGCTGGTGGCAGAAGAGAAAGTCAGGGAGACCTGAACTATGAGGGAAATTGAATGCACCATGGCTGACCTAAAGATGGGAACACACATGGTAGACTATGTGCATAGTATCTCAAGGAACTGAGAAAGACCCCTTGCCTGTAAGAAAACATGGACCTCAGCTCTACAACTGCAAGAAACGTCACTCTCCTCTTCTTCCTCCCCCTCCTCTTCCCTCTCTTCCTCTCCCTCCTCCTCTCCTTCCTCCTCTCCCTCCTCCTCCCCCTCCTCTAGTCTGAATGAGCTTAGAAACAAATTCCTTTTCAATAAGGGCACAGCTTGAAATGAATTGAAGAATACAATCCATTATGGCAGACCATCCTCTGAAATGGAAAACTAAAGTTATATGTAATTCTCTTGTGTTAGCCATCAGTCACATTGAAACTGTAACCAGTGGATGTCAGCGCCACCTTGCCGCAGTGCCCTTCACCCTGGAGGTTGTGGGTAGCAGGGGTTACCCTGATCTCTTACTTTGCCTCAAGGCTCCTAAGGCAATAAAGTGAGTGAACACTGACTTATCTCTTCCAGGCAGTCGGGTGACATTTTCTTCATGTTCTCTCTCTCTCTCTCTCTCTCTCTCTCTCTCTCTCTCTCTCTCTCTCTCTCTACTTAGGAGATGGGTCACTTGTGTTTTTCCCACCTGCCTCCCCCCGCCTTTTTGAGACAGGGTCTTTCATTGGCCTGGATCTCTCCTGTTAGACTGGACTGGTGAATCAGCCAGCCCTAAGGAACTCTCACATCCCCAGTGACAGGATTCCTACCACACCTGGCTTTTGCTTTCAAATTGTTTCTGAGGATCAAACTCAGGTTTTCGTAAGTGCATAGAAAGCACTTTATTGACCGAGCCAGGTCTCCAGCCTAAAGTTACATTCATTTAACAAGGTACTTCTATCTAACCAAACACCCTTCCATCCCCAGTTCTATAACCCTCTGTCTGTGGTATCAACAGAATCAACCAAAACGAGCCTGCTCAGAAGCTACATATCCTTCCTCAGGAGCTGCAGTGACATGAAGGACAGTTCCGACTCCAGCAGCTGCATGCCTCCTGCTCTGAGTGACAGAGGCAAGCATAGACGGTCCCTGCCCCAGGAAACCCCATTCATCTTCTTCTTGCCCACTGTTCTATGCCTGAAAGACATGGGTGGGATATGTTGCGGGAAGTGAAAAAAAAAAGTCACACTTGAAACGTTACAGATTCCTCCCTCAAAGGCTCCCCTGTAAATCGGGTAAACCCACTTTAGTGCCCTGGGTCTTCCTAGGGCTAGAGTTCCTAGTGCTTCTTGTGTCTGGGTGTTTGGCACACTCCTGGCTCACTCAGCTACTGTAACATCAGTAGAAATGTTTACTATTTTGTGCTTTAAATCTGAAACTCTCATGCCCAGTCAGCCTCTTTCTGGTTTCAGTTGTCAAACTTTGAAGGCTAAGTGTGAGGAAGGTATGACTCGGCCACTCGGTGGCTAATTAGGTGATTTTTCTTAAAATAATAAATTGAGCCGGGCGGCAGTGCACACCTTTAATCCCAACACTTGGGAGGCAGAACCAGGTGGATTTCTATGAGTTCGAGGCCAGCCTGGTCTATAGGGTGAGATCCAGGACAGGCTCCAAAACTACACAGAGAAACCCTGTCTTGAAAAACAAAACAAAACAAAAAAAATGAATCCTACAGTGTGCTCTCTACATTTCAAACAGTTAATTACTGACTCCTGAGCATAATACACAGTCCCTTATGTAGTAGGAGCACCTGGGTGACAAATGTGTACTTGTGGTGAATCAGGCTCTGTTTGCTTCAGTGCCACTGTGTGGGAAACCTTTCCAACTAGCTTGAGTGTCCTCAGTCACGTGCAACCTGCTAGTGTTCATGTTCTCAACTGGCTACATGCAATGTGCTAGCTTGCATGTTCTCAGCTGCCTACATGTAGTCCGTTCATTATGGGACTTGGCACATGATGAGTAGAACATAGTTTTTTAAGCATTTAACCAACTCACACCTGAACTGCTTCCCTTCTTTCTGGCAGCTGCTAAATCAATGAAGGAATATTCCTTTCCATTTAGAAATCCAAGTTTATATAAGGATAGACATTTAGGCCGGGCGGTGGTGGCGCACGCCTTTAATCCCAGCACTCGGGAGGCAGAGCCAGGCGGATCTCTGTGAGTTCGAGGCCAGCCTGGTCTCCAAAGCGAGTTCCAGGAAAGGCGCAAAGCTACACAGAGAAACCCTGTCTCGAAAAACCAAAAAAAAAAAAAAAAAAAAAGATAGACATTTAAAACCCCAAATACGAATTTCAAAATTTGAACCTAATGATTCCACAGATAACAGTTTTTGATTTTCCCATACGAAGCTGAGGAATCATGAAACAAAGCATCTGAATTGAAAATGTCCATCAAGTCACCCCTCTAGTAATTGTGAGGGAGCCTAGTGCTGAGCAATCACTGGCAAATCATAGTCTTGTTAAACATTTGAAATGGGGTTTTTGAAGAAGGGGCCAGGAATGCATCTGGTTCTTCTATGGGGAGAGTTCTCACTGCACGGTGGGGGAGTGGGTGAGGCAGGGCAGTATCACCCGTGCCTGAGGTGCCCGTGGAGGGGGCTAATGCATTCTGCCTGAGAGCCTGCTCTGGTAGGTTAAACTATGGCCTCTGAAGTGTGGGCTGCCATTAGCCCTCCATCTTCGCAAGCATGATCGATCCTTGATGTCAGCCCCAGTATACACAGCTGCCATTTCATTCCACAGAAAGGAGCATCCTGCTGATGAATAAGTGCCTACATGACAAATTGTCAGAGGGACTCACTGAAAACCGAAGCCAAGTTAATGACCACCGAAGCCAAGTTAATGACCACACGTGAGTGCTTGCATCTAAGGAGGATGTTTTGCTCTGCTTTGTTTCCAAACGGCCAAGTTGCAAGTTTCAAACCCTACAGTCTTGTGTTCTTAGCTCTGCAGACATGTCCTCTGAAAAGTGGCTCCAAACCCATGGCCTGGTGGCCAAGAAGCTCACCATCATGGATGCCTTGACTGGGACCGTAGTGCCCCGAAACGCCACCTATGTTCCCATCCTGAATAAGCATGTTGTCTCCAAGGTCTTTAATGAGGTAATGGGATTATTTCTGTGCCCCTGCTCAGATGATTTTCTTTTTTTAATTTTCTGCTCAAATAAAATAATAACCTGCTTTAGTTTCTTGAGCAATTGCAACAGAGATGTATTGGAAGAAGTTACGCATAGAGGCAGTAAATGAGGGAGCAGAGGACTGGGGACTCTTACGACTTCCCCTTCTCGGGCCAGCCTTTGCTGAGCTGGAAGCCTGCAGTTCCTCGACGCTGCAGGAATGTATGGAGCTGCAGAGATGCTGAAAGCTCTCCAGCTCAGAGTTGTGAACAGGCATCTAGGGACCAAGGGACTGAGGACAGAGGGCCTTTGCTTGAGAGATGGGGCCCTTTCTTTTCCCAAGTCGAATGACATTTTCTCTATTATAGAAGCCACCACAGGCAAGGAGAGAGGAGGTGGGGGGTGGGGGGTGGATCTGAGGTAGTCATGTTCCTGGAGAAGAAAAAGAGCCTCCAGTATGAGAGTGTGGTAAGGTATATGTGGCCAAGGCCATATATGTACGATTAGGTTCACTTGGCCCTTGGTGTCTGTGAACTCTTTATCTATGGCTTTAGCCAATCTTAGATCAAAAGTTGCATCTGTCCTGGGCATGTACATTTCCCTGTTACTACCTAACAGTATAATAGCTACTTACATGGCGTGTGCATTGTAGTGGGTGTTATGAATCATTGATGACTTAAGGGACACAGGAGGATGTAGGGAGGGTATGTACAGAAGCCCCTCCTTTTTACATAAGGGTCTGAGAAGTGTTGGCAGTGGTGATAGTATGTTCTAGAGCCAATACTTCCACCGTGAGGACCATTTGTAACAAGAAGTAGCCGCAGAGTTTGGGAAGCCCGTGTCTTCAGGAAAAACAGTTTCTGAAGCAGCCAAGTTAGAGTGGGATGTGTAACAGAAGAGATGTGGATGTGAGGACTGAGTACCACTGCTGCCTGGAAAATACAAAGAGGCTGGAAGTAGCAACCATCAGGCTTCCCAGCCCTAAAGGGAGTGACATTCCTAAAGGAGCATCCTGGAGTGTTTACAGATGGGATGCTTGGTGTCTGCCTCAGGATGTCTGTGTGGGACGGGGTGGCAGGGGGTCAGAGCAGCTGGAGCAATTCTTAAATTTGGAAAAGATCACCAGGGAGGACAAGGCTTATGGTGCAATTAATTCTTCCTGCTTTTTATGTATTTGGGATTTCCCATGAGAACATCTGGGGAAATAAAAATTAAAGGCAAAGAAACTTTATTTCAGAAAAATCAAGTGCCGAGGGCTCTCACTGGCCTCGACCCCGCTGGGTCAAGCACTTAGAGCAGCAGACAGAGCAATGGGACTCTCTTGTGTTAGCCATCAGTCACATTGAAACTGTAACCAGTGGAGGTCAGCACCACCCTGCCGCAGTGCCCTTCACCCTGGAGGTTGTGGGTGGCAGGGGTTACCCTGTTCTCTTTCTTTGCCTCAAGGCTCCGAAGGCAGTAAAGTGAGTGAACACTGACTTATCTCTCCCAGGCAGTCTGGTGACGTTTTCTTCATGTTCTGTGTATTCCTTTTATTAATATACTTGGGACTTATTTGGAACAAACCTGTCTAATGACTTCCTCCTGGAAGCAGGATTTTCTTGGGCTTATATCACTCCTCCTTGCAACTCTCCCAACGACTTGAGATACATCGGAATGGAAAGTTCTCAAAAACAAATGTGGCAGGCCAGGGAAATAGAAGCATATGATCAAAAGAAGAAACCATAAAGAGAATATTTATTCCCCTAACTACGTCAAAATGGATCCTTGCAGAGGAGGAATGCCAGAGGCAGCGGATGACTACAAGGGAACAGGCTTTTCCAGACACAGCAGGGCAGCTGCATGAACTTACAGTGGTTGTGACAGCATACACAAGACCTATGCAAGATCAAACCAGCTCAAACCAGTCCAAACTCCAGCATGGATGGGGGGTGGCACAAAGCCCTACCCCTAACTGAGGAGTTATTGGCAACTGATGGCTGCTGGAATGGGGAGTGTTAGTTTACTTTAAGGTATGGCCCCTGGTAGGTCTCATGCTCCAATGAATGGCCTGCACCCAAGAGTATGTGGGCAACACAGCGGGACTCCGTGGGTTTAGAAAAAAGTGAGGGCAGGTGGGGAAGGGAGGGTTGGTCTGGGAGGAATTAGAGGTAAATGCATATTACCAAAATACATCATATGAAATTCTCAAAGAATTAATAAAAATGACATTCTGCATAAAAGAATATGAAGTAAAAGCAGATTTAAGAAAACATTTGTAGCATGTACAACGAAGGAAGGTCTTAAGAATTATATTATTGATATGCATGCATGGTTCAGTATATATCAATATGTGCATAAATTGGTGTTCAGCCTGTGCGCGTGCGCACACACACACACACACACACACACACACACACACACACACACACAGGCGTTCGTGCATGTGTATCTTCACCATGAAGGGATACAAACATGATGAATACTCCAGTGAGAAATCTGAGGGAAAAAAAGGGTGGATAAGCCAAAATGACACACAAAGACATTTAACTTTAGTGGTAACCAGATACATGAGGTAAGAAATATGCAGATTGAAAACTAATTGGGTACCCTCTTCCCATCAAATTGGAAAGAAAGAAAATGCAAGGGCCCGTGAGATGGCCTGGTGGATGAAGGCACCTGCCACCAAGTCTGACTTTACTGGGAAGGAGAAGAGTTACTCCTGCAAGTTGTCCTCTGGCCTCTACATATGTGCGGAGAAAGTAAAGCTTTAATTGAGCTCAAGGATTTTCAACTCTGTCTTGAGGAAGCTGGGAGAGGTTTTATCATGGGGAAAAGTCAACTTTGGCTTTTTGCTGCCTAAGTAAAAGACAGTGTGGAGATGTGAGGCTGAGAAGTCATGGCAGTCAGGAGGCAAGACTGGACAACGATGACTAGGCGGCCACACTGGGCCCAGGTGAAGCCTGGTGTGGAGTCACGTTGATGGAACTGGATGAACTGTGTGGGGCTGAGAAAGCGTCCAGAGTGATTCTTACGATTTCACCCACACAAAGGCCTCAAAAGCACCCAGTGGAAGAAACACTGTTTAGCAAATGGTCCTGGCAGAACTGGGTATGCCCCACAGAACAATGAAATTAGATCAACAGCTCTCATCCAAGAGAAACAGCAATTCAACGTGGACCAAAGTCCTTGATTTAACATGTGAAATGCCAGAACTGCTAGAGGAAAACACAGGGAATGCATTTCAAGTCATAGGTGCAGTCAAGAATGCTCTGGACAAGACTCCAGTAGCATAGGCAATTGACCCAGGAGTCAACAAATGGGATGGCATGAGATGAAAATGTTTCTCCACAGCAAAGAAAACTATCATCGGAGCAAACACACAACCAACAGAATGGGAGAAAATTTTTGCTGTACTTCAGACAGGAGGTTGATGTCTACAATATATAAAGAACTGAAAGAATTAAACAATAAAAAATGAAACAGCCCATTGAGAAATGGGATCGTGGAATGAACAGACAGTTAACCAAACAGGAAACAGAAATGGACAAAAAATTTTTTAAAAAGCCTTCAACATCCTTAGCCATCAGGGAAATGCAAATTAAAACCATTTTGATAGTTCCATCTCACCCCAGTCAGAATGGCTCACGTCAAGAAAATGAATGACAGCAAATGCTGGCAAGAATGTAAGGATGGGGAACCCTGAATCACCGCTGGGAGGAGTGTAGCTCAAAAAAATTTAAGACAGGACTATGATATGACCTGGATATAAATACCTAGAGCACTTTATAACCTACCACAAAGATGCCTGTAGCTCCATGCTTATTGCTGCTGTATTTGCAATATCTAGGAAATGGAACCAGCCTAGATGTCAATCAATGGATGAGTAGATAAATGTTGAAGAAAAATGAAATTTGCAGGAGATGGATGGATCTGGAAAGTATTATGATAAGTGAAGTGACCCAGACTCAGAAAGACAGTGATCACACATTCTCATGTGTGGATCCTGTACCAGTTACTTTTCTGTTGCTGTGATAAAAGGCGCAACCAAAGCAATTTAAAGAAGAGAGAATTTTGGCTTATGGTTCCCGAGGGATAAGAGTGCACCATGGTGGGGAGGCATGGCAGCAAGCCACAGACAGCAAGCCACAGACAGCAAGCCACAGAAAGCAAGCACAGCCAGAGCAGGAAGCTGGGAGCTCGCATCCTTTACTGCAAGCACACAGCAGAGAGAAAAACAAAACAAACACCAAGTGGCATAATGCTTTTCATTTCGAAGCCCGCCTCCAATGACACACTTCCTGTAGCAAGGCCACATCACCCAAATCTCTCCAAACAGTGCCACTAACTAGGAACCAAAATGCTGAGACTGCAGGGGACATCTCATCCAAGCCACCATAGATCCCGACTTTTAATATTTACAGTATGTAAATAAAGGGATGTGAGAATAGATGCAAATTGAAGCCAGACAGGAGAAAATAGGTAGGGGCCCATGAGGGGAGCAAGTTATCAAGGAAAGGCAGAAGGGCAAGGAGGACGTAAGGACACATGACCCATAAAGGGGGCTACTTCGGCTGGGAAGATGGAGGAGGCTGAAAGAGAGAGAGAGAAGGGGGAGGAGAAACAACAAAAACAAAATAAATTTCGCTTGAAAAATACCACAATGAAGCTACTACCTTGTATGCAAATAAAAACTAGATTCCAGCCTCGATTGTTCTGAAGGAAAAATTCAGGAGGAGCAGAAGTAAGAATCCTGATCTTTAGAACATTCTAGCACTTCACCTTTGGAAAGCAAGGCCAAAGAAAAGGGATGAACATTTCCCCATGGAAATGTTTGGTACCTTTTGTGGTACCATGCGTTCCCATCACAAGTTGTACAGTTGAGACAGTGCTCTGCCCAGCAAATTCACCCTTCATCATTAACAGAAGGGCAAGAATTCGATGATGATAGAGGTAGACCATAACAAATCTAATCTCAGCTCCAAAGCATAGTTTATGTCTTTAAAA